CGAGGCTGTTTCCAAGCTTAAATCCAGGCTTCCTGAAGTTCTCAAGGCTGCCAGCAAGTCACCAGAGGAACCCGAACCTTACACGCTTTGGGGCATTGCCCTCGATAAGGATTCATCCGATGAAAAGCTAAACGTTCTTTTGGTCAAGTTCTTGCGCGCTAGGTAGGTCTTTACTCGCATTTACACTATCAAATATGGATTTTGCATTGCAAAATTTACGTCTAACTGTTATGATGTATAAAGAGATTTGAACCTGGATTTGGCGAGCAAAATGTTGAGTGACAGCATAGCTTGGCGAAAGGAATTCAAGGCAGACAGTATCTTGGACGAAGAGTTTGATGAGTCTGTCTTTGGCGGTGTCGGGTACATTCACAAGACTGATAAAGAAGGCCGTCCTGTTTGCTACAACTTCTACGGTGAATTGGACCAGGAAGCCGTTTTTGGCGATTTGCAAAAGTATATGTCGTTTTAAGTTCTAATGCCTCAACATGCTGAATAACAAATCATGAGCTTATGTGTATATAATTTCTTGATCAACCTCAAGGTTCATCCGTTGGAGAGTTCAGCTTATGGAAAAGGGTGTCAAACTTGTCGACTTTGTTAATGTGGATACCATGGTCCAGATTCACGATTACAAGGGCGTTTCTATGTTTGGTCGTACGGCTAATTCCAAACAGGCCACAAAGGAGATTATCAAAATCATGCAGGACAACTATCCTGAATTTTTGGTAACTATATTTTTCCTTGGGACGAATCTTTGAAGGGAAAAAGCAGTGAAGCCTTTTCTGGGTGATGATGACATTTTGCTGTGCTTGGGCCAGATTCTAATATTTCATCATTAGTCAACCAAATTCTTTGTCAACATACCCTGGTGGGGCAGGTACGAAAACACATGCTAAGCTTATTCGTTTAAACCATATTTTAACTGTTTGTACCTGGTAAATAGCAAAATCTTCAAGCTAATTCGCCCACTGTTGCCAGAAGCTACTGTTAAGAAGTTTGTCGTTTGCTCAAAGTAAAGTATACATCAGGTCTACTAGGAATATTTACAGTAGCTTATTATTGTATGACTAATTTGCTCAATTATTTTTATATTATAATAGCGACGAGTTGATTGAGACACTATCACAATCGATTGAAGTTGAAATCTTGCCGTCAGTATATCGACAAGGAGTAGCAAAGGATGCAGGTTCGGACGTTGCTGTAAAGTCTGAAAACAAGACCGTTGGTACAGAGGAAGAGGCTGCCGATACTCCTGTTATTAACACCACCACTGAGGACACGAAGAAGGAGACAGAAACTTCGCCTGAAACCGAGAATGCCATCAAGGACTCTCCTGAAGAGTCTACTGCTCGTGCTACTATCGAAACACCAGAATCGGGTAGTCGAAAGGAAGAAAAGAAGCCTGCAATTGCTACTACCGACAATAAGGAGGAAGCCACTGCTTAAGGCATCGCATCTTTGCTTTGCTTTATGAACTCGTACTGAAACACCATCGTATCAGCTAATAACTGAACTCACCCCTCTCCCCGCTCTTTTACCCAGCTACATTACACTCTTTTTTTTACACTATACTCGATATATTATACTCTTACTTTCTTATTTAAATACAATAGTTAATGTTTCCCCGTTTTTTATAATGAAAAGAGAGACGTCAAAATGATGCCAGGGAGAAAGAAAAAAGAGGAAGAAGGGGGCAGGGAGTGAGCAGTTCTAATATTTCCAGGAAGAGTTGAGTAAATAGTTAACATATAGAGTGATCAAGCCTTAGGTATTGTACAATGAACTGCCCCGTTTACTAAGACGCGGATCATTCGCGCTGAGACTAGCACCACCAGCCGTGCTAGAAGCCATTGATGGTGAAGTTGATCCTTGGATACAGTGCATCGGGAACACACCACGGGTGCTTCCTCTGGTCAGATTTGCACCGAGGCACCAGCCATCATCATATTCTGCGTACACCTGAACCTGATCACCTGGATGCACGTAGATCTCATCGTCGAGTGTTGGTGCGTACGTGGACACGACAGTGTACGTGCCAAGCGGTGGGTGTTGCCAAGGATCCTGTTGCGGTGGTAGTGGTGGTGGTGGCTGTTGTGTCATTGGCGGTGAGGCTGCAGTGGCAGCGAACGCTGGAGCGGGCGCAAATGTGGAGTTCGGTTGCTGATGAGCGTATGGTTGAGTGAGAGCTGGAGTATAGTACTCGGCGGCAGCCACTGGACCAGCAGCGGCGACATGAGGAGGCGGTGTGTTCATGCTACCATACGTTTGTGACATGGGTGGTTGTTGAGATGGTGCTGTCGCCGACGGGCCAGCAAAGAAATCGTTCTGGCCAAACGACGAGACGCGATGGCTGATCGAGGGACGCCGGGTTCGTCTCTTTCGTCGTTTGACAAAGAGGATGGCAATAAGACTCAGTGCAAGGGCAGCAACAACAGCGACAACAATACCACCAATAGCGCCTCCGGAGATCGACGAAGAGTCTTCAGCCATGGCTACGCTGGCAGTGGCGGTTGCGGCATTTGTACTTGAGGCGGTATCTTCGGGCGTTTGCGTTTGGATTTGTTGCGAGGGTGTGGTAAAGACCTGATACGGCGGGGTAGTGGTAGTGCTGCTAGGAGGCGTCGGGAATGCAGTAACGCTCTGCGACTTGTCGTTTACAAACGAAATGTCTGACGATTTGGCGTTCGCTACGTATGATTTAGTTAAAGATCACATTAACATACGCACATTGAACTTGAGAAGAGTTCTGTTTGTCTGTGTACCTGCAGAGGAGGAAGGGGCTGCTGATTCCGGCTTTTTGGTAGCGCTTTGCTTTGCGGATTCAGATGCAGCGGGTTGATCTTCTTGGGGAGTAGCGCGTTTGTTTAATGGGATTTTGGCATGGTCATGACCACTGATAGCTGCGTGCATTGCTGTTTTTAACAAGCAGACACCATACGATAAGGAATGGGAAAGGAAAGGGTTGAAAAGTATGAGAATAAAGAAAAGGAAATGGAACCCGCGACCAAACCAAAACGAAATCCCAATGCTTTTTCGGTGTAACATTGGGTTTGGGCACACAGCAATTGTTGGATGTGCAACATGAAGGCGCACTGATCTCTCTCGCATTCGCCCCTCTTTGTGTCTCTTTGTCTGCAATGTTAAAGAAATATATTAGATTGTACAAGAGCAGGGGGGAGAGACTGGCCCTTTCTTCTTTTTAATATAGAAGCAACAATGAATAAATCGAGGGCCTAATGAGATGCATGTATACACAGCTGGATCTATTATTCTGCTTTTTCTTCTTTGTTCCATTACTATTATGTACTATGTACTATTATACTGCTCTTTCTGTTTTCTTCTCTTCTATGCTGAGCCTAAGACAGATTCCAAGGTCTCCACTGCACTCTTTTCGATGACCACCTTGTCATAGGTCAGCAAGTCCAGCACGTTTGTCTCCTCCACGTAGATAACTTCACATCTGGGAATGTTGCGAGCAGCCAACTCGAGGTTCTCATTAAAGTCATTGGTGACGATCAACATGGTCGACGGCTCATCGTCGTTGCCGTGGGTTTGCGTCAGGATGTGATTAAATTCACGCGTCTTCTTGCTGTCCAGCACATCCAGGCTGTCCACAACAGTCAGCTGATCTTGTGCGTACTTTGTACTTAATGCCACACGTAGACCCAGTACTTGTACTTTGCGTGGAAGTTCCGTGCTGTGATCCCTTGGTTTGGGACCAAATGCAGCGCCACCTATTAAATTAAACAATACAATTTTCATTTAGCTTGCGTACAATATCTCCACACTGCAGATACCATCTCCTTCAAAAAACCAGCTTTCCAAACTTTACCTCCTCGGAAATGGGGTGCCTTCATGTCACCCACACGAGCTTTGCCTCGACCCTTCTGTGGTGCTGCCTTTTTACCAGTGCCAGCAACTTCCGATCGTCCCTTTGCTGAATGCGTGCCCTGTCGCATACCGTCCCGTTGCCATATAACCACGCGCTGCAAAATATCTCGTCGTAAAGGTGCACCGAAAACTTCTCGATCGAGGTTCATAATAGATAATGGTTCACTTGTTTTGAAATCGCGGACGAATGCTTCAACATGTTTTGGAAATGGTGAAACTATGAATCGTTGTCATTAATCGTTGAAATTATACGTCGCATTCAGTCACGTAGTTGCTTTTCGTTATATCAATTCCGAGGTAAGGGGAAAAAAAGAAATACCTTGAGGGGTTATGTTGGTTGCTGTTGCCAATGCGCGCTTTTGTACAGTGATCTAGTTTAGGAATAAGGCCCGTATGTTAGTATTTTGTCATGGCGCCACAATGTTTTAGAAACGACAGTACCTTGGCCACGTTGGCTGAGGCCAATGAAATGGGCTTCATAAATGACATTTTTTGTTTTTGTGTTGGTGGTGTAGCTCGGTCGGCAGTAAAAGTTGACACCTGCTTGGTGGCGGTAAACAATTTGAGGTGTAATGGCAAGCCGACCGTCACCGTCACACCAGCCTCTGTGAAGCGGGGCTACAAGCATCGTTTTACATACTTGGTAGCTGTCAGTTGCATCACATGAGCCAAGTGACATTTGCTCACCAGGTCCCAATAATGATGCAAGGTGACATAAACCAAACCAGAGACTCTAAGAAAACATTTAAAGATCTTGGCACTAAAGTACTAATATCAACACATGTATAGCATATGCAGTAGGCCTGGCTATTTTTAATCATCGTGATGATGACATGTTTAAAGCCGTTCTTGCCCGTGCTTGCGTGTGCACAACAAGTACGAACTCTATACTGATGTGTGGCTCGGAGGAAGAAGCTGTTTAATACAAGATTTACCATTGGTAGCTCTCACTTGCTGCCTAAAAGTACTAGTACTACTACTTTTAATACTGGTCGCTTTGTGTTGCTCTCGCTAATTCTTCAACAACGCTCTATCCCCTTTTCTTTTTACCCCTTGCATAAAGATGAAGAGCTTTCTGTGTGTCTCAAAATCTGCTCTCTCGGCACACATGGAAGCCACAATGCTGTTGTATATCATGCACACCGTACATGTATCATCCCAACAGCAACAGCAGCCTTCCATTACCGGCCGGACCGGCCCCTCAACTTTGCGGTGAGAGTTTCAAGATTAAACAAAACAGAAGAAGTACATTCACTAAAGTATTAGACACAACAAAGTATAGACTGATTCTCTTTTTAATTACGTAGTATCTAAGATGTGAGAAAGATGTAGTAAACTGTATAAAAACAAGAAAAATTAATACAGACAAAAAAAGTAAAACAAGAGAGAGAAGTTTAACAAGAAGAGAGTAATAATGGTCTGTATACAAGGACGAGCAGTATAATAGAGAAAACAAGGGGAGGGTTTGATCTACAGATCCAGCCGCAGGTTTTTTTTTTCATGGGGAACGGACATTAAGCGTGAGTATGGTTGTCATAGTGGCAGGTTGTAAGGGGAAAACAAGTAATAACAGTATTATTATATGATGAGTGTTAGTGGTGGTCGTGGTTGTTATTAGGACCATCGAATCTTGAATCGTAGTCATCATAATGATTAGGTTTTGTGGGCGTATCCGGTGGAGAAACAGTGATCTCGACCTGTGTAGTTGGTGTGTCGACCATGTCCCGGCTGTATTTCTCCTTTGGTGTGCCTGGCAGAGTTAGACTGGAGCCGCCGATTTGGGTATTTGAACCGTCAAAGTCGTTAAAATTTGTTGTAATCTTCGGCATCGTTAGATTGGAGCCACCAATACGGGTGGCTGAGCCGTCTTGAACTACCATAATATCCTCTTCGTCACGGCCAGGAGGAGTTGTCGTCTCCGCCTTTTCCTGGTCCTGTTGCTGGCCGCGTTTGATCCATCTCTTCATAATATCGACTTCGATGTTACCCAGAATGAGTTGCTCGACGTGGTAAAGAAGTAGCGGTGTAGATAGGACGCCGATTTTGCCGGGGTCACCATGCTGATACAACACGTTGATCAGCGGCATGCCGAGGGCCACAGTTTTTGTTGCACCACAGTACTGTTTATAACCAACAGAAGAAATGGTTAGTATCTTACTCGTCAGCTCTGGCTGCATATCCTCTTAATTATTTACCATAACAGCAACAGTGTCTTCGCGGGAATACCGAAGGCGTTCGAATACACGCTGTCCAGGCACCCAGTGGGGCATAGGTAGATACGCAAGGAACCAACAAGTGCCCGAGAACAGGATGTAAAACCCGGCGTTGATGATGGCCACTGCAACGACATCGACCGCGTTGATGTTTCCAAAGGAGCCTGCGTGAATCGCATCTGAGAATGTTGACCACACCAGCGTCAGCAGGCAGACACTGCTGACATCTGACAGGCGGCACTTTACTTTGAACTTTGCAATCGGTTCTGGAAATACCCATTGGATGAGCTGTCCGACAACCAATGGCACAAGTACAGTGATTCCAAGCTGCTTCAGAACAGATACAAAATCGATTGTGCCATCCACAGTGCTGGATGTTTCGTTCTCTGGGGTCGCATCGATCAAAGGCTCTTGGAAGACTTGGAGCAAAGCAGGTGAAACGAAGATACCGAGTACGTTGCCAAGCGCGGCATTCATCAAAGCTATTTTTTCCAGTCAGAAGAGCTATTCTCATAAACAGGTTTTTGCTATGACGTTTTGTTATTGCTAGGTTACAGAAAAATAAGGTTAATTACCTGTTGCTTCGTTACCGCCTGCGTTTTTCGTCATGACAACATTTGAGGAAACAGTCGTAGGAGTGCATGCGGCAATGACGATACCGATTAGCAGAAGCGAGTTTAGATTCATATGGACCTTAAAAAACAGAATCACGAGACCAAAGACGAAGAAGGGTATGAAGATGAGGTTAATGACTTGGACGAGCATATGCAATCGGACGCGAAGAACAGTTCTGGCCAACGTTTGTGTGCGGAGTGACAATCCCGAGATCAAGAAAATCACAATCACGGCACCTGGAAAAAGATCGACACGAGAAAAAGGAAACGATTGATTAGCAACAAAGCAAAGCATCAAAAAAATCAATGTCTGTCGACTGTTGTTAGAGGCGTACCCCATTTGATCGTCCATTCGGCACGAATGTATCCGCCCTGTCGAGCCACGTCTGGTACTAATATGGCGAGCATGATGACAAACGCAAGGCCGACCAAGAACCAATATCGTTTAAAGAGGCTCTTGGCAACAGCCCAAGTCTTTTTGCCGGCTCTCCGTAACTTCTCTTTTCGTGTTGAGGGTATGTTTGAGGACGATTTATCAGAGACAGTGTTCGATAGCGGGGACGGCCGATAGCCTTGCTGTGACGAAGAGAGTTGGTGCTGTGATGGTGGAATGGTAGTAGAGTCGCTAGCCAGTGACGTGCTGGACTTAAGTCTATGTTCGTTCATTGCGAGTTTGAATAGACCGAGAAAGATGGAGGGCGACGATGGATGAGATGACGATGAAGACGATGGCCATGGCATGCTGGAAGGCTGTACTTTTATATGTAAAGGAAGAAAAGAAAAAAAAAGATATTTGATTGCTTTCTGCAAGTCTTTATCGCTGCTATTTTGGGATGATCAATAAGGAAAGGGGGAAAATGTTTATGTAGACTCGTTTGGGGGGATCTGAGCAAAAAGGGGGGTGGAGAAAGAGAGAGAGAATGAATAATAACACCGTAAGCGAGTAAGATTGTCGGTTGTCCGAAAGGAAGGAAGAAGGGGTTATTGAGAGCTTATACAAGCAAGCAAGCACAGTGCTATTTGGGGGGGTGAGGGCATACATAGCGCTTTGCACCATTGTTCTTGTCTCGTCTCTCATACCACTGTTAGCTCTCTGCCTCCTTTCCACATGAATGCCTTTGGTGACAGCAGTAATGGGCAACGCAACACAGCTCATCAGCAGCAGCAGTGATGATGAAATGTAGCCGCTGAACTTTCTCTTTTGTGGTTGCTGCAGTGACTTGCTTCTTCCGCGGCTTGCTGCTGGCGCGCGACGCAGAGACAAAACGGCAATCATTGCGTTTTCCAATGAACATTCGATTTTGGGTAAAGACCCGCGCGAGGAGCGTTAAAACGATAAAATTATGCACTTTTATTTACACAATACTACGCACGACCGAGCAGCTTTGCTTGTTTGGTCTTCTGCTAACGGAGCGAACGGCGCGGGCAAGCAAAATGAGCAGTGTGAGACAAGAAAAGACCATAATTTTAAAATAGCAGACTCCTGAAAAGCGAAAATCGCCACCTTTGTAGCTAGTAATAGTAGCTCAGCGCTACTGTATCAGTAGTAGACCCAGAATTTGTAGTCTGTTTCTTAGAAGAACACCTCTTTCCTCTGTCAATTTCTGTTTTGTGGGTCCGAAGAATCGGAACCCCTTTTTAATATTACTCTTGGTGCCTCCTCCCTTTTCTTGTTCTTCCTTAATATCTATAAGAGAATGATCAACAACAACGAATGATTGACTGTCAATTCTTTATAGGTGGTTAAATAAAACGTTGCATTACTACACATGTTGACAAAGTTCTAAATATACACCACATGCGCGCTGCGTTCTGTTCTTTTCGTGCACATCTCTCTCATTCTCTTTGTGTCCAGTTATCGCCACTGACTAGCTTCTCACTCAGCCGCACACATGCTCATCATCATCATCTGGCTCGAGCGGTAATCTTTTTATGCATATGCTCACCTAGTTGTTCTCTATTATTTTAAATTATGTACGGATATAAACAGCTACCGTATGAGTAGTTGACGACACTATTCCATCGCTGTATGGTAGGTCGCGATCATCACTACTGTGCGAACATGGCTCCCAAAGAACGCATTTTACGGAACGGCTTTTTGGATAATGTTGTCGATGCTATTCACTCTCCTAGAAATGCAAGGCTAGATAGCGGGCGCTGCTCATCACTAACTAAGTTTTGTCTTTGCCACCCAGATTAGCATGACAAACGTGAACTTTGCTTAAATTCGTCGGTGCAGTACTTGTGCCAGCTGACAACAAACTTTGAATTGTTTCCATGTGAGCCCAGCTATTTAGTGTTTCTGACTTGACTTTTAAAGTATGGATACTGCAGAGAATATGATTTTATCGAACTGGACTGAGAAACAAATGGCGGATGATATGACTCTATAATAGCTATGTTTCTGATTATCAAGCGCATCAGAAATCTAAAAAGGAAGTATGTCGTGCACTTACTTCTATACAGGCTTCTTTTTTTTTGCTTTTTGCCACTCAGCGTAGAGGTTACAAAAGCTAACCAAGCAATAGTCTACACTCTGCATGATAACACATTTGACTTTGACCACACGAAAAAAAAGGAGCGCGTGTGTCACCTTGAAGAGCCGCATTTACCTATCGTTCCCGTTTTACCTAATTCTCGATCCCTGATTGAAAATGACATACATCACATATGATGATTCTTTCGAGGAGTATTTAGCAGTTTAAAGGGAAAAAAAGGGGCGGAGAAAAGTAAACAAGTGCCACGTACTCATCGCATTTAATATGGTTTGTTAGAAGTAGCGGACGTACTAACTGTTACACTCCAGAGATCTACTTTACAACAAGCAGCAGCGTCTGTTTATATCGCGGAGCTGAGTAATAATCGTGTTTGCATTTTTGCTTACAGTAATGGATGCAAAACTCTAATGCAGCATGCTGCAATGCCAAAATCGTGGCATCCCGAGATTTTTAAGTATGTAGGTCAGATTCTTTCTCTCTTTCTATCACTTTACAGAGCCCCTTCCCTTTGTCCCTTTTCCCAAGCTTACACTTTTTGTATGCCAAAATTAATGTAATGCCGATTGTGTGACTAACTCTTCTGCATAATTACGCTGAAATATGATTTTACATGTTTGTCGATTCTTCTGTTGTCTCGCTAAATGTTAACGATTGTTATTCCGTCAGCATTCTCCTCTGCAATTATCAACATTGAGACTAACCAGGTGCGCGCACTACCACATACGCCACCACCGCGCATTGCTAACGAATAACCCCTTTCGCGTATCATGGTTCTTAAACTTTAAAAACAACTCTATAACAACTGACATTGATGATGCTTACTGTAGATCTGTTGTTGGTCAATTGTGTAATCTTACCCAGCATAATAGAGTCACTTCATGAACTCTAGTAATACTGGAATGCTATCATGTATTTATCGACATGCCAAAATAAGAGATAGACGATGATGAGGGAGAAAAGCAAGCAGTGTATACCTCAAACCTTTGAGAATTATACTTTTTAGGCAATATATACATAGTAGTATGACATCCACGTTGTAATTATCTACTACTATATGCAATCATACTGGACGGTACGCTATAATAGAGTAATCATCTTAGGATCTGACTAAAGACATTTTTTTTGGATGCTAAGAAGACATTCTGACGGGTAAAATCTAAATATCTACAATAAACAATGCTGCAGTTTTGTTTAACTTTGTTTGTTTCAGTTGCGCTTATTCGGCGTTTGTGTTACACCTCTAAAAAGCAGTAGATGCAAACATCTTTTATGTGTTGTAGATATGGCTACACTTGTGGCTATGTCGTTCATACAGTTTTAAAGGCGACAATCTTTGCCGAAGGGGCGATTTTATGTTCTATGATAACATCTGCTAATGTACAAGTGCGTTGAATGACTTTCCTTACAGTAGCATTTATTTTTAAAACGGCCAGCAAATTGTGTATTTTTCTTATAGTAGGGGTAACTGGCGGCGAACGTGCAGCATGCACGGTTGTTGATCCGTTTTGCTAGACAAATTCCCTACTTTTTTCACTCTTCTCTGATGCTTGCTGTAAGCCCTCCATATATCGCACGGGGACAAATTGTAGAAGCTCTTACATGCGTTTCCTTTTGCATCCGCTAATAGATTTGGCTCGGATACAGTATTACTCTATCGTAATTTGACACTGTTTAAATCTATTGTACTTTTGCTTGGATGCTTCTCATTCAAAAACAAGACCGAATTACGATGCTCAATGAAAAATAGTCTTAATGGTATCATACGAGAGCGACAGCAATATGTACGCCATGGCAAATCACCACTACTGTGGTGGCAAAGCAAAAACAAATCTACATGCGGATCATAGGGAGTGGAGCACATTTGATATATTTATTATTGGTAGTAGTAATAGTAGTAGTAGCGGACTACCACTGAAGCACCTATTAACCAACGAAGGAACGTTGTAAACGAAGGAGCAGTTTAACAGAAATAGAAGCGAAGCCCGCATCATGTTGATGTTTATACGTCGGTAGGTTAAGAAAAATATAAAATTTACAATTAATAGCACTTTAACACTATTGAAAAGAAATAACCTGAGGGACTGCTTTACACGATGATCAAGAAGGAGAGCAAAAGCATGTTACCTGTACGATGTATGATTTTCCTCATTCAACTTCATTCAGGGAACCGAATTCCATCCAACAAGTTACTCAAAGAAGTAAAGTGAAACATGCACAAGCAAAATTTATCTTCACCCCCGTTCTCATCTTTTACATACGTGCTCTGTTCATCATCTCTCCCTTTATATTTTTATTGCTGGAGAATGATAGAGTTCAGTCGCACGTGCGTGTACCGTAAACATGGACGCAGCAGCATAAAACGATCTGTTCTCCTCTATGCAGCTGTATATTACGTTGAGGCTTAGCATTGGTTTAAATTACCGTGTTAAGTAAATTTTACTGTTTTTCAGCAGTGGATACTTGAGGTTACAAAACCGGGGAAATCATCACCATCACCGTCATCATCATACTGTAGATACCAGTAGTAAAGATAAATTTTTGAACATCTAGTACTCTTCTATTCATTAATTATTATTGAATCACATCATTGATCTTGTATCTTGGTCTTACCGCTAGAAAGTAAGGAAGTTCAGGGCGACGCCAGAAGAAAGACAAAAGCGCGAGGCATACCAGTTTGAGCTGAGGTCAACCTCTTCTACCTCTTCTTTTTGTTTTACTTGCTCTCTTATTCTATATTTTACGTGTTACCGATATATTATAGATTGGTATTATATACCACATGGATAGTAATCGTCGAGGATTCGGAAGACTGAAAGATGATTTTCAGGGAGAAAGCATTGGCATGCGCACTACTAGTACCGTTGGCGATCCAGGCGACACTCCACCTTACTGGCAGCAGATCCAGTTCTCGTCAACATCAGATCAACAGCAACAAGAAGTAGTGACAAAAGGGATGGAGCGACAAATATCCTCAGAGTCGTCTTGTTACGACAAATCAGCGCTTAATCAATCTTCACCAAGAAAGAAAGATACCGCAAAACCGGAAGGAATTCGTGATTTGGTTTCTGTGATAGCGATGCCTGTGATCAATGTGGCAGGAACGTCTGTGCTTATTGCAATGCTATTATACATCTATCAGCACGCAAATGGCCAAAGCACAGATCTAACTATGGCTGGTATGAAAGTGCCTACCATAATTTCACTGATGATGACGATTGTCAAAATGTTTGTCGCAGGCGGCATTGCATAGTAAGGATTCTATGCAAAGTTAAAGTAGTAGATAATGAATGGTGATTTACTGAATTATATGGTTATTAGCGCGATTTCAGAGTATAAGTGGATTCGGCTACAAAACGATGGTGGACAACTTGCTTTACTGGATATCTACGATGCATGCACTCGGGGGTAAGATATAGTATTTTTTGCTGGTTAATCATATACTTTAGTAGTAGGTACTAATGCTTCCATGTATCAATTAGGGTTGGTGGTATGCTTATACTAGAATAGGTGAAAGTACAACCTGCCATTTATTCTATTTCAACATTAACATCCCATTTTCTTTAATCTCATCAACCAAGGCATTGTCCGTATTCTCACTTCAATCCGAGCCGATCATGTGCTTTTGCCAGCTATCATTTTCCAGTTTGGCTTGATGGCTATGGGTCCTGCATCGCAGCAGATTCTTACGACGGCCAATAATGTGCAGTGTGATAAGGAGCATACGGGCGTCTATTACACCAATGTCAGTGCATCCGACATGACGACCATGAAAACCACGAGTGGTGCTGCAAGTGTCAAGGGATTAGAACAAGATTATCTTGTCCGGTATGCATTTGGACAAGCCGCACTTGGCTTTCAAGTGCAACCCTACTATGACTGTCCCTTAAATTCAATCAACTGTACATACACACCGATCCTGGGATATCATACAGCGGTAACGTGCAAGAACGGCTCACTAAATACCCAAATCGTTGACTTGAATCGCAACAATATCACTACCTTGAGCCAATACTACGGATACGATAAAGCAGATCGACGCTTCCCACCTATGCCAAACGTTCCCGGAATATTCTACGACGGATCTATGTTTGGCCGAACATATTTTGATCTGAACAACTACACAAAGCCGCTTGACGTATCAGCAGACAACAATGCCACGTATGATGCCCAAATTCGCAAGTTTTTCGGTGACCAAAAGTTCGTTGTCGTCACTACGGATGATGGCACATTACGAAGTTATCTTGACTCAAAAAAGATGCCACAAGTCCTCGAATGCACATTACAGTCATATCTGAACACGTCGACCTTGATTGTAGAAGCATTGTCGAAACGACAACAGCTATTATCCCAAGTGCCCATAACGTTCGACTTTGACGCTTTGAGCAACAACACGTATTGGTCAGACTATTATGTTGGAGCAAATTTCACACAGATGAACGCATATGCCATGCAACTTTCTATTTTAAAAAATTTGATCGCAGACGGCATGGATGAGTTTCAAGAAATCGTCGAAAATTGGCTTTACTATGGAATACCTCACGGGAATACACCAGCAGAGTTTTTTGCAAACGCATTGCACAATGTCGATCTTTCCGCCGTCTATGGGCTGCCCATCAATCCAATATTCGGCACCAAGGGTACTCAGTGCTACAATACGGGATCCTTTTATCAGCTGAATCCTGCGGCATTTTATGGACTCTCCTTATCACTGCTATTGCCACTCGGATGGTGGACCGTCTTATGGGTAATCAGCTTACATCAAACAAATGGCATTTCCAGAGGCAATTCACAGGTGGCTCTTCTGGTGACTGGCCTGACACCGGCTGTTCGTGAAAAGCTCAGGGGTATTTCGCATGCTGGCCAGAAAGAGCTTTTCGAAAGGGCGCAAAAGGTCGATGTGGTGTTTGGCGAAACAAGATCAACTGGTCATATCGCTTTCGGTACACCTGGTGAAATTAATCCCCTTCGCACTAGACGCTACTCATTTTGATACTGTGTACATGCACAATTCTACTATAACTAAACTGCTAATATCAGTGTTTACCAATGTAGAGTTTAATATCATAAGTTTTCCTTATCTTTATTGTTTATTGTTTTTTCACTTGAATAAATTTGCCCGTTTTAAGCTCTGAACCACCTTTAGTGATATTATTTGGATAGCGATCGCCTACTACCTCGGCTCCAATACAGCTACATGAACTCTTTGCCACGTTTACACGTTTAACCTACAACAAGCCCGCACATGCGCGGCTCGCCATTTCTCTTAACTACTTCAGTTTTGAGAGCTTGCCACTTTACGTGAATATGTCGGCAAACGAAATGGATCGTTATGCACTGTCCCATTGCTTGGGTTTCATTGCTACAGAAGTACCCCAGTTCTTTCCGTGATGTACAGCAGTAAACCCCTCAACTTTGCTCATTGATTCTTCAATTACTCTTTCTTTTAACGCAAGTTCTCAAACATGAATGTCGACGATCACAATGACAAATCTTTTGGGCTCCAACTTGATTCTGAAATCGAAGCACGACTAGAGCCGCCAGCAGACTTGCCGGAAGGGCTCCGATATGTCGCCGACACAAGACGACAATCCATTAACCCGGCGCAACCCTCCAACCGACGGCCATCGAATACAAGCCGACGACTGTCCAATTCGGATACGGAAAACACGCGCTGCAACGTACGAACGCGTGGCTATCTTCCTATCGAGAACTATGGCATTATCGGGAACATGCGTACTATTGCCATGTGTGGCACTGACGGATCGATCGATTTCTGCTGTTATCCTAAATTTGATAGTCCTTCTATCTTTTGTCGAATGCTTGACAAGGACAAAGGCGGGCATTTTTCTATTTCTCCACGACAGCATACGAGCAACAAGCAGCAATATCTTCCCAATGGCAATATACTGACGACACGCTTCTTGTCCGACGAAGGCGTGGGCCAGATCACCGATTACATGCATTTGCCTGAACAGTCGCAACGGCATGGAACGAAGCCATTATTGCCTTGGATTATTCGTGTGGTGGAGGTCATCCGTGGTACAGTGTCATTTGATATGGAGTGTTATCCCGCGTTCAACTATGCACGTGACGAACATACAGTGGAATTGGTATCGTGCGGACAGACGAACGGCAATGACGAAGCGAATGCGCCTAAACTTTATCCTGAAGACGACATTTCTTATTATGTCGGCAGCGGTCGCGCAATATTCAAATCGAGTACAATGAACGTGGATTTGCGTTATTTAGTCAAGTGCGGAGATTTTGCTTGCCCAGCTGTGAATTTAAAAGTGGATGAGAAGGCAGTAAACATCGGTTTACAAGGCCCGGGCGTTACGGCTGAATTCGAGCTCCAGGAAACGCAGCAAGTTACTTTTATCTTTCGCGAGATCCCACAGATCAAAGTACCCGAAAATGAAAACCATATGCAGGCCAAAGAGCGTAAGGCCAAAGATCCTCCACTCACAGCAAGTTTGGTTGATGCATTGTTAAGGCAAACTGCGAGGTATTGGCAAACATGGGTCAACCAAAGCACTTACAGAGGCCGGTGGCGAGAAAGCGTTATGCGCAGCGCACTCACTCTAAAACTTCTTACATATGAGCCGGTAGGTTTGACAAAAAGAGACACCGCATTTGGAATATCAATGTATGCATACGGCTAATAAAAGAGTTTGTTTCCAACAGACGGGCGCTGTTGTCGCTGCTCCTACGTTTAGTCTTCCTGAAGCGATAGGTGGTTCAAGGAACTGGGATTACCGATTTGTATGGATAAGAGACAGCTCGTTTACGATATACGCTTTTCTTCGATTGGGGTTGACAGAAGAGGCACAGCGCTATATGCAGTATATATCCGATCGATGCAATGACTTGGTAATATGTGATGAGAAGTTACTGGCTAGGATGGTGATATGTACAATCTAACATTTCCCCATCGGATTATCGTTATAGAATCCTGACGGCTCTTTGAACATCATGTACAGGTAAGCTATTATGTCAGTGCTATTTGAAAAAAGGGTCTATTTAATATGGTCGCGCGTCAATTCTAGCATCGATGGCGTGAAAGAGTTGGACGAATTTGAATTGGATCATCTGGATGGATATCACGGTTCTCGTCCCGTCCGTGTTGGAAATGGCGCCTACGATCATCTTCAACTTGACATCTATGGCGAATTACTGGACGGCGTATACCTTTACAACAAGTATGGACAACCTGTCTCGTACGACATGTGGCGCTCCATCCGAAAACTGGTAAATTACGTGTGCGACCATTACAACCAGCCTGACATGTCGATTTGGTTAGTCTTTTTTAACCTTTTTACAGCCACTCTCCGTGAAGTAACAATACTAAGAATCATCCATAACTGCATCGCGTACTATTAGGGAAGTACGTGGGCAAAAACAGAATTTTACCTACTCTCGTGTTATGTGCTGGGTTGCCATCGATAGAGGTAGTCATGCAATAATATCATAGAAAGTAAACCTGTGATCAGTAAGAAGATACTAAAGCTCAAGCCATGTCGTAGGCTTACGTCTATCGGAAAAGCGCATGTTTCCATGTCGAGAACGAGACCGTTGGCTCAATGTACGGGATGAAATATATGAGGAGATCATGGAAAAGTGCTGGAACCCACAATTGCAAGTCTTCACCCAAGGCATTGAGTCACCCGAAGCGTTGGATTCAAGCGTGCTGATTATGCCTTTAGTATTTTTTGTGGCACCTAATGATCCGCGAATGCTGTCGACAATAAGAAAGATATTGTTGCCTCCTGAAAAAGGTGAAATAAGAGCCATTACTATTGTTCTACATTCCATTTAACAGCTCTAAAACGCCGTTCTTCCGAATAATTTAGGTGGATTGGTTGCCAATAATTTGGTGTTCCGTTACAATTACTTGACCACCGACGATGGTGTTGGCGGTCTGGAGGGTGCATTCTCTATGTGCACATTCTGGTTGGTAGAGGCGTTGACGCGAGCAGGAATGTATGATAGGAAGCTTTTGAACCGGGCGGTGGTCATGTTTGAGGAAATGGTGTCGTACGGAAACCATCTTGGACTATTCTCTGAGGAAATCGCCCGCTCAGGAGAAATGCTTGGTAATACACCCCAAGCCTTTTCACATTTGTCGTTTATCAGTGGTAAGTTTCGCTATAAACCTATGCAGTAATAAAGCTTTAATATATTCGTGTGTTGTTGCTAAGCTCTGTGCTCTTTTCTTCCCCAAACTCTATATAGCTGCATTCAATCTGGACCGAGTACTTTCGAAAAAGAATTGAGCATGTTTTTCCGTGTCTCACACGTTTGTACATAGACGTGCTGCATTAAAAGAATAATTCGAACCATGTCATATTTTTACATGGACCGTGGGGACAGTAAAGTCTGCTGCTTAAAAACTATGCATTACTGAAAACTGTTATCGCGTAAGCATAACATTTCATGAATGCAGGTCCTAATAATGATCGACGCTTAAGGGGACTGGACCTGCCGGCTCTTTTCTTTGTTATCTCTGAAATATATTTCTTCTTATCTATCCTCCATGAAGTACAGAAAATGAACCCAGATTATAGAAAGTTTGGATAGACCGTGCACATGCTAATGCCATGGGCTACGTTACTTTATATACTCAACTACTACCATGATACATATTGGAGCTAAAGCCCTATGTATAGTTTGATTTTTCATTCACCTTGAAGCTTTGTCGACTATCTGGCGGCCCTTTTACACACAGAACCCCTTTATTCTATGTTCTTCATCATCAATATGGCTCCCCTTAATTTATTTCCCCAGCATTATCAGCATTACTCTTAATGGTCCTCAATCCCTTTTGCGCTCTCACACGCCTCCTTTCTGTCGCAGACGGTCAATTCGTCTATCTCGCTTCGTTAAAAAAGTGATATACGGCTGGTTTCTTTCTTTTACTTCTTTCACGAACCATCTCTTTTAACTTCTCATTACCAAACTTGGTACCCTTCCCATTCATTTATATCTCTTTCTCAAAACCGATACGAACACATCGACAACCCTTTTTCACTCTTATACCCCCATTTCGATCCTTTAAAAAGAGCAACGATGAAATCAATTCGCCTTCCTTTGATGAACAAAAAGTTCGACGACCAATATACGTTCGAACTACATGGCTATGTGGGTTTCCCCGTCATCGTATTACCTCTCTAACATGCTGCTAAGAATGAGAGACTGACAATGGCAGCAACATCGCAAAATTATGATAGCTTACCCTGCAAGACTTTCAGTCTACGATTACTACGATCAACAACTCGGTAGCCCACCAACCACCTCCTGGCAACAAAATTGTTTGGCTCGGCATCCTATGGACAGTATGGATACTGATTGCTTTGGCTACCTATACAGTTTGGATCAGCCTCGACTTCGTTTATGTCCTATTCGCTATTCCTATTCTTATGCTCATAGCAACAGCTGTATTTCTTTGGCGACACCGACATATCCGCTACAAGGTACACTTGTGGTAGTAGCAAGATGATGGATAAAGAGTATTATTCATGCTATAAATAGAAGCTAAAAATATACACACCTCACATGCTGCCCTTATTCAACGTTTTCAACATCATACACGTTCTCTTGCTTCATTTTATGCAAAGTTTGAACAATCTGTTTTAGATACTTGCAGTACGATCAACGCAACAGAAAACATTCGCGGCATCAATTATCGATTCAGCAAAAACGGTGCCGATATCACATCAAACAATTACGAATCTAATAACAGCGTCTTGGCATTTTGCTCGAAACCACTTTATGCAAGTACCTTAATTTGGTGTTATCATAAAGATACAACGAATTTTTGAGAAATTAGACCGAGCCCAACAAGCCAGCTGCTCATGTTTTTAACTATTATTATATTTCTAGGCCATTGTGATTGAGTTTGACGACCGCTACAACGCATTTGTAGGACAAAAATATTCCGTACGGTACCATGCTGAGGACTTTGTTAGTATTCCTCTTTACGCTGGTGTCGACGAACCTGAAAGTGCCCTATTTTCGGAAAAGAATCTTCTTCAGAAGGGGACTGCCTCGGACTTACCTTCCGGCATTTTGTATAGCAATGAAAAAGATCCTAATGTCATTCGTTATACATAGGATCAGAGTAACAAATTAACAATAGTTATCCATCATATATCGTCATATACAATTCTCCCTTTGTTATATGATAAGATTAGCTTTTAAGAAACGTGACATCTCCTTGGCGGCTCTTTATAATTATTGGCTTTGCTCTGGATTTCCCCTCTTCTTGTAAGAGTACAACAATATTAAAGTTTTCATTTTAAACGATCTATTTAATTTATTGTTCGTTCATCGATACCCATTCAATGATGATAGACCTAAACAGTTAATCCCTAGTAACGTAAGAGTAGATTCTGTCTACCATTGATTTTGCATAAATTATGTTGCTTAAGCTCTATGTGACAAACAGCTATATTGACCTGATATATACAAAAAATCATCTGCAGCTGCTGTTTACAATCGCAACAAGTTGGTTACTACAGAAGAAGCCATAATTCATACCAGTATTAATCACAGACAGACAGAAAAGACAAATTATATACGTGTATTTTTTCGCTGCCTATAATGACGCTACTACCCTTGTGGTCGCTATTGAAAACCATTGTTCCCAATGCTCAGTGGAACACAGTGCAGATGGGGGCTGCCGTGGTTTGGGAACTATTGAGTACTGGCTTCCTAAAAGATAGGAGAGCTCTGCGGTAGGCAGTAGCCGCCAATCAATTAACTCGGCAGAAGTGCTGCCATCAAACCGCCCTTCAATATGTGCTTTGTTGTTAATGTTGCTTTCTCCTTGACAACGAAGCGACAAGCAGCAAGGTGGACAGAGCAACAGTTATTTTTCTCGCCATGAGCGGTTCGTGGTATCTTATTCGTATGGCGAGTCCAAACAACTGGTAATGGCTCGGCTCATCTCAAATTTTCTTGTGCGCCAGTAGATTTCATTGAAACGATCAGATCCGACTTATATTTTCTCGTTTACAGTACCCATCACTCTTTTGTTCCTTCGAGAGTTACTGTGACAAATGAACGACAAAGGAGAAATTACCAGTGAATCAGCATCCACATTCATCCAGTGCTGGAATTAAAGATGCCATCGTCGTATATTCAATGACATTTTTTTAAAAAAGAACTATATAGTAGCCCGTACGCAGCTAAGGGTGTTCTCACTGTTAGATCAAAAATGACATTGACGCTACATGATCTACAGCTTACCTTTTTTTTACAAAGTTAGTGTAAAAAACTAAAAATGATGGTGAAACTTAGCATTGTCTTTTGTAATGATTTCAGTGGATATTTCGCTCATCAGTTTACGTAAAGACCTAGCTGTGACATTTCTTATCAACTGAGTGTGTGGGAGAGAGGGCAAAAAGGAGGACATCATCTTCTGTGCAGTCGATCCCCGGTTTTTACAGCCGAGCTTTTTCGAGATTTTAAAAAGTTGAGAATTTGCAGGTTATAGGATAAACAATCCTGCTTAGATTTAACGCTGAACAAGTTATCCTATCAACACTACGTTGTTGTTTTTATGTCAGAGACGATGTACGATACGTTTTGTGGAAATATATTTATAGTTCTTAGTGTGTCCCCATTCTACTGGCCATCCAACTACCAGTTAGTAACTTTTCGCCAGCCAGCTAGAAAAGCTGCATAAAGCTCAGATCGGATGTATCAAAATGACACTTAGCCGCAGCAAATCGACCAAGTTCCCAACCATGATACCTACGTATATGCCGATCTGCCCTCAATGCAGATACGTGCCCGCGCATTGCAACTCAAGTTCGTCACGCGACTGCTGTCGCAACCGGTGCTCACTATGGCCCGTGCAGTGGAACTTACCATACTTGGAACAATGGGAAACGAAGCAACTCCCTATGGCGACGATTGACAGCAACAAATCCCCTCCACCAGCAGGAGTATATAAAGCTACGGAACGGGCAGGACCCAGCAGATAACCCAGTCGCCAAGGCAATCGACAAGAAACGGGACGGCGAGCACTCCTCCCGCTGTGGACACGGTGCTATACCTAGCGACCTCCTCGAAGAATCGGCACCGGATGTTAAGTGGCGAATGCATTGGCTACCGTCATACCATTTGGTGTGTACTACAACATATTGGCAAGTGTGTTTGCATTTGCAATAAATTCTATAAGGTCCAGTTCAGCTAATGGTTGGTCATAGTAAGTTTACTTTTTTTCGAACAGTTCAAGAATTGCCAAAATGATCAAGAAGTAAGCCACTCTTTTCGTGTTTGGTTTATGTATATCACTTCAGTACCCTTGCTGCTTCAATAAATCTTGTAATTTATTGCATATGCGTGCCATGCATTCATATATAACGAAAGCATTTGAAGCGCACATCCTGGTGGTCAAAGAATGAAGAAAAAACCTGGAACCTACTAGGTGAGTATTTTTTGACCTTCATGGAGATTATATTGCTGTATGATGTAATCTTACTTTTCAACCACTGTATCTGATAGCAAGAACTTTCATCATTTTTGAAGTTGTACATACAATTTCACATTGTCAATGTTGACCGAAATTGATCTGAGTGTGTTGGTTAAAGAAATAAAACAATTTCGTGTTATCAGTTGTACAGTGTTCAAAATATGAACAACGGGCAACAGCAGTTAGCTTTACTATCATGATCGCTACAGTTGTCATAAATAATGAAGTTTGAACAAATTCGCATAAACATGACCCTATTTTCAGTGGAAAGGATCACAACACACCGCCTGTGTGAAGCCCATAACTAAGAAATAGACGATCATTTGGATCGATCGCTTCCCCTCCGAAATTCACCTAATATGTTTGTCCTCCTCAAGAGGTGTGCCAAGAATATAATGATGCCGCAGGTCTTTTTATGATACCTTGCCGGGGCCGACGGGAGTGGCGCAAGCGTAGTCGAGATTTATACAGTAAACATAGCGATGGTAAGCCAAGGTTGTTGGCCTGGCCGCCTGCACCTGCTTCAACAAATATCAATGTTGGATCACGTACTAATAATTCTTTATTCGTTAAATATGGAACGTTCATAGTCAGCCCAAAATGATGCAATTGTGCTATTAAGGAGTGAAAAGAGCACCTTTGAAGCATATTGTGCAGCAAATTTACAGCTTTAAAACGTATGACATACGATCTATGTGTTGGGATGGCAAACGATCTACATGTGCGGTGGAATGAAAATGAGGCTGACAATTGGGTTTTTATCCCTTCAATATACCAACGTTCTTTTGCTTTTACTGCTCAAAGTTGATGTTTGAAAAGAAAGGATCACAACTTTTCAAGAATTTAAGCAGTGTGCCCTTGTTTTTTGCATGTCGATGACTGATGAGATTCGTCGCGAACGTGTGCAGAAGTTGGAAACGTTCGACGTTTCTGGGTTGAGCTACCATACTGACGCTCACGAAGCGTTCATGCTGTCAAATACACGTATCGACACCCAATAATTTGACATGGTCAAAACAGTCACCTGCTCCTGGATATAGTTAGGAAACTAAAGGTACAGGCGATCTTGTGTGGTTCAGTTTAATAAATAGAGCCTGCTGCGGGGATTACTTCTATTGGCTGTTACAGGTTACAGAGAACGAGCGATTATTCTCGAACTGTTACATATCTTTTATCACTTCGCAAGGGGGCGAATCGCTGTCGTGAAGCATTAAGCACATATGAGAAAGAGAGAGCTAACTGAATGCAGCACAGGCCGATGTACGTGTCCCGAAGTCAGCCGTTGGAAGATGCAGGGCGCCGCAAAGAAGCTGCCCGAAGACAACAGAATGCATTGCTTATTTAGCCTTGCAGATCTCGAACGGAGAAAGGGAAAAAAAGCTCGGTGTATGTACAGTATACGTGAGCTGTGTGGCTGAACGAGAACGACACGTTGGAGATATAGCATACTAACCTGAAAAGTAACCCAGAAAAAGAAAAGGATTCCTGACATGAACCCGGTTGATCTGTACTACTTTGGGGGCACAGAATAGCACATGTACGATTGCCCGGCGAAACACACAATCACACACATAATTTTAATATTTTAATATGGCGCTCTTTTTTTTATTACTTCTTTTTCTTCTCCCTCATTTTCTTTTCCTCTTCTTCAAGCACACGAAAACATTTTTTGCGCTTCTTCTTCTTCTTCTTACATTCGTTTGCACTCTTAACCTCTATGATATCTCGCGAGGATATGCCCTCGGCCTCTGCAAAACACAATCGATGATCGAACCTCAACACGACCCAACAATGTCGTCAACGACCACTTCGTCCTCTAGTAGTATGCCTCTCATACGATCATCATCATCATCCCCACCACCGCCCCTCGTTCCATCAAAGGAACCCGCACTGTCTCCTTTGATGGGTACAAAATTAGTCCCATCATCTACAGCTACGACTCCGCTGATTACCCAACCCACTTCTTCTTCACCACCAAAACGACGCTTACCCCGTTTCTGGCAACAGCAATCACCACCACCCGATATCCCACCCTCCTCAACTCAGCACCATCCTCGCCGTCAACATACAACTGCTGAGCAGCCACCTTTGTCCTCTTCGTCTTCTTCATCAACATCGTCAGCAACAAGTAATATTGGCTTTGGCATTCGATCATTTAAACGTAGTACTGACGACAAACAACATACCCCGAAACGATCCATCTCTTTGCGTCGCAGGCGACCTAGCGTTACACCAACCGAACAAGCTCCTGCTGCAAACAACACAAGTGACCTGATCACTTCTACGAGCAGCAACAACGGCTCCTCGCTTCTATCAAAGTCTCTACCCATTGCACCCCCATTGCCACGCCGGGGATCACCACCACTTTCGGCCCATTCCGCGTCATCAGGATCATCGGCTCCATCAACAGCCTCAAGTAGTAGTTTACTTTTAGACCGGTTGATCGCCAAGAAACATAGCCGCTGCCATGCTCAACAACAGCAGGAAAACCGTGTTGTCACTGTTCATGAATGCTGTACATGGATAGGAGGCTACTGTGCCAAACTGGATGTAAATTCAGACCATGTGTGGAAACATATTGACGCCATACTTGAAAGTATCGAGTATGTTCTCGTGCAAACGAATGCGTACAAGGGCTTATTCCGACGCAGGATCCTGGAACTCCAGCAGCAACATCCACAGGACGGGACAGTAGGCAACGCTCAACAAGTGGTATGCTTTGTCATGTTTTTTGGAGACTTTATTAGGCTGGATTATGAGGCTCATTAATTACTAACGGATGATTTGATATAGCTGCGTGATATTGAAATGATTTGCAATGCCATAACAACCAGCATATGTTGCAGCGACAACAGCAACAATACCGATCATACCCTTGCTGTCATTGATACGACAGACCAATTCAAACTTGAGACGACTCATCGTGTCCTTGCAACGAAATATTCGCCCATGCCAGATTATACGAAAATATGGCCGGACCACATGGATCGTTCGTTTGGTTGGTTTCGAAGACATTTCGTGGGCAAGCCGTACACCACCTTTCTACGTGCCACAGACGATGAAACAGTTATTGTGTCTGTCGTCAAGGATTTTCAGCAGTCAGACGCCTGTCGCGTGATCATCCGATCCAATATCAAAAAGGTGAGGGCGCCCTAATTAACAGATATATGTCAATGTAATTGCTGGTTTACATATCGAATGTATTGACCACAAACATATTTATCCAGCATGTGGGTCATCACTTTGTCGATGCCGAGCGTCTCAAGATCGTTGCAGGTGATCATGATTTGCTCTACTACAGGCACGCTATAGCTGCGGCATGCCCAGAACTTGAATTGCAATCTTTTAAAGAGCTTTCGGCTGAAGCAAGTATTCTGGCAGGTCTGGAAAAAGAGCTTTTACGTTTTGATGAATTGGTCGTAAGTTTTCAAGCATATAGCCAAAGCGTATGCATTATGCACGTCATTTGATGAAATGGGTCTGCGCCCTTAAAAATATATGCAAATTTAGCTGTCCTTAACCGTTTCTGTCGTACCAATATTCACTTACTAGGTTCCAAAACATTATAAGTTTGGTGTTTTAAATGTCAAGGAGGACCAAACAAACGAGGAAGAATGGCTCAGCAACAAGGATATGTCGCCTGGATTTGAGCGACTTTTGGATTTAATCGGTAAACGTATCGAGCTCAAGGGACACACGGGTTATGCAGCTGGATTGGACACGAAATGTAAGTGCTCGTGACCTCAGTAAAAATTATGCGTGTATATCTCACTCCTTGAAAAATTTCTTTGAATTCAAACTAAATGGAATGCTTCCCATCTCCTATTTCCCCATATCCATGCTATATTTCAATAGCCGGCGAAACAGGCGAGTTCTCTTACGTGTCTCGTTGGCACAACCATGAGATCATGCTACACGTTGCAGCACTCATGCCATGGCGAGAACATGATAGACAACAAGTTCACCGTAAACGACATATCGGCAATGGTATGTGGATATCATAATATGTGGTCCGGAACTATCCTGGAGAACAAGAGAAGAAAGCATAACTAACGACTGTTTTTCTTGTAGATATTGTGTGTCTTGTTTTTGTTGAAGGCAACGGCAAGTTTGATGTAAATGCTATCCGATCTCAGTTCCTACACGTCTTTGTCGTTGTTCGTCTCGTCCATGATGCTGAAGGAAGCGAGCAGTGGCACGTCGAAGTTATCCGTCATGCCAACGTTGATGGCTTTGGTCCTGTTATTCCAAAAGCTGCTCAACTTACCAGTGACCAGCTCCGCGACTTTGTTCTGTTGAAAAGTAAGCTATAGCCATAACTAAACTTTGCTTTGCCGTATATATATCTGTTATTCAACTCAATAGCTTACCCTATCAAATTAAAATCAATGTAGTGGTCAATGGCGAAAATGCAGCCCTCAAATCCGACAAATTTGCTATTCCAAACAATAAGGCTCGTGCAGGGATGCTGAAGAATATGGTTTCGTTGGCAGATCATATTCCTACCACAAGAACTGGTGCAGGAAGTTACAAGAGTGAACGACCAAGATCTACTGGTGCAGCAAACAGCAGCTTTGCCAAAAAGGCAGCCAACCCTTGGCGAAGTCGGCCATCGTTGGATGTGCCCAGCCCACCTCCCCAACTTCCTCCAATGCCAACACCTTCGCGTTCCAACATGTTGCGGGATCTCACGGCTGGATTCACGCGGCGCGGGCGCCGTAGCAGTGGAAATAAGGACGATGAATTTAAAGGTAAGCGTGAAGCTTTTCAATAAACCACAAATGAGAAAAACTGATTAGAACCTTTTTTGTAATAGCTCATGATCAACTGCAACAAAAACAGCAACGGCGACAGCAACAAGAACTACCGCAATCTGATAACGAACAGCCCTCGCCATCACCGTCTCGTTTTATTAAGCCCCCAAACCTTGTATCTAGTGTGATGCGTGGTCGGTCCACTTCGTCAACCAATGTTCGCACAGAGGAATTGCGGACAAGTCAAAGCACAATCACCCGATCCAACACATTTACGCGACGGATAGGCCGATCCAGTCTAAAAAAGTCAACTAGTTAATCATTTTCTAATTGTACTGATATATATATACATGAAATATGTAAAATTGACGGGAAAGCAGCTATATTTCTGGCTGTTGGATTCCATAAAAACGAATTGATATTTCTTAGCAACTTACTTTCATAGAAAGACACGGGTTCCGTGTGGAAGGAGGGAGGAACTGGGATGGGTTTGCTTATGTATGCCAATCTTTTCTGATACGTTCTGTTTACCAAATTATACGTGCCCAATAGGAACGGTATATATGCAAGCAAGCTCGGATGACACCCATTCACTCGGCGAACTACATTGCTTCAACATCGTACGCACATAAACATTTTGGAAACAAACTATTTGACGTAGAATAATAATAAAAAAACAACATGTTTGTTTGCTTGGAAAAGAAAGAGAAAAATAATAAAGACAGGGCAGTAATACAATATTATCACGAAATAACAAGGTTGGTAATATATGGTGGCTAACAACAAGTAAAAGAAACATTACAAAGCAAAAAGGTATAGCAGTAAAATGTATAGAGAATCTTCTTTTTTTATGGAGGCGGTGGTCGACGGTGATGCAAAGGCGACGCAACAGCTGCAGCTGGTGGCGGTGGTAACATACTAGGAACTGGAGGTGGCAAAGAAGTAGGCGGAGCTAGTGGAGGTGGGATCTGGTCTACGGTTGGAGGGTATTGTTGTCGAAGTGATAATGACGATACTGATGATAAAGGTTTGGAAGACGAACTGGGTGACATGGGACGACTTGACGGCTGCTTGTTGGTTGATGGTTGGGAAGAAGAAGAGGGATAGGATCTATTGTAGTATGTGGTTGAGTAATCATCTTCGCCACTTTGTGATAGAGGAGGAGTAGGCGTCATGCTTGAGAATGGTGGATCGGATGGCGTAGGAGGTAATGAAGTTATTGGTGCTGGTTGTTGTAATTGCTGCTGGTGCTGTGGCTGCTGTTGACGTTGATGCATCCGCTGCTGTTGCTGCGGTTGTTGCTGTATTTGCTCCAATGATACAAAAGATGATGAAGCAGTTCCAACAAGAGGTCGTTCACTTGTCTCTGGTGATGCCGATGTCGGATAGCTTTCATCTGATGATCGCCGCCGGTGACGATGATAGTGATCCAATTGCTCGGATCCGGCTGCCGCTCGAGCCATATACTCATCATACGGTGGTTCTGCATAAGATGAAGGAGGCAGAATACCTGATGGAGGTCGCCAGTCCGTGCCTCGTTCTTTGCCAACGCCTGCTCGTGCCATTCGAGCAAGCTCCTCCATTTTAACCAGGTCACCATCCGAAAGCGGGGTCGCAGGCTTTTGGCTGACATAGTCCATGACACTCGTCTTGTATGTGCCACCTACTTTGGCACTTGAATGACGGGGCGGAGGCTGCTGGTGTGCTGATTGTGCTGCAAACTGTTGCGGTTTTTCGCTGTCACTGCTATTGCGGCCACCACTTTGCCGATGGCTATGATGCTGCTGGTGCTGGTGGTGCTCCTGATTTGTTTTCGTCATCTTTTGTGCCCAGCGGCGCTGCTCCATTTCCCTTTTGCGCCATTCGTTTTCTTCAGGTTTTGTATGATCATAGACGATAAATTTCTCTTCCATGATCTGGCGCTCGGGAGACGACTCTGCCAGATCGTTGATGGACTGGCTTCTTAAGGACGTGTTGGCGTGCGACGCAGCACTACGTTTCGGATTACGCTTTCGAACAATCAGTGGGTTGTCTTCTAGCAGAATTTCTTCTAGTTCGTGGGTGGGATCAAAGTTGGCACGTTTACTCTGCACATATTCGCATTAGTTCGTTCTAAATGTCTTTTTAGTCGTTGTTCTCGGAAACAAATAGTACTACTTACATCGGGTATAAATGGAGGGCAGGCCTGTTTGCTTTCCAGTAATTCCCACTGGATATTTCGAAGCCAAGGATGACTGACGAGTTGGCTGAAGCCCTTATCTTTGACACCCAGGCGGCGGTTGATGTCTCTTGTCAGGAGCCCTTTGACGAAGTCAATGGCATCAGATGAAACATGACTATTTTCGGGAAAGCACAGTGGCTCGTGCATAATTGCATGCTGGAGTGCGTCGTTGGTCTTGGCACGAAACGGGCGCTATTAGAAATATAAGGAAAGGCGAGAGAGAGACAGAGAGAGAGAGAGAGAGAGTGTGTGTGTGTGTGTGTGTGTGGGAAGAGGGTTGCAATAAGTAAATTGCTCTCCACATTTGTTTTTGAATAAATAAAATAAATATAAAAAGGTACCTTGCCGAACATCAACTCGAAGCAAACGACACCAAGCGACCACCAGTCGACAGAAGAGCCGTAGCCCCGTTTTGCCAATACCTCTGGAGCCATATAAGCCATCGACCCGGCAATCGAAGTCAGCGGTTTTGATCCAGAAAACTGGACGGCAATGTTAAAGTCGGTCAAGTGTGCGTGTCCCTGGTCGTCCAAAAGGATATTATCTGGTTTGATATCCCTGCGTTTTATGTGTGCATCATTAGATCATCAGCTAAGCCTGCGAATCTCCTCCCCCAACCCCTGACTCGTTTCCCTTCACACTCTGTTGCTGCTGCATACCTGTGTATCACTTTATTATTATGCAAGTGTCTTAAACTCAACGCCACTTCGGCTGCATAGAACTGGACATAAGACTCGGGCATGACACCAAGTCGATCGAGATGGAAACGCAAGTCACCGCCAAGCATCAAATCCAATATCATAAATAAGTTATCGTCGTCTTGAAATGCGTAGCGGAGGTTGACAATTAGCCCATGGGAGACCTGTTCCAAAATGCGTCGTTCGGAAATGATGTTTTCGACGGCTCGCATTTGTATACATTTAGCCTTGTTTATGTACTTGAGAGCATACAGCTTCTTGGTGCCTTTGTGTTGAATGACTCGAACTTTGCCGAATGCACCCTTTCCGACCGAACGCAGTAACGTAAAGTGAGAAAGGTCGACTTTATACAAAATAACTAAAGTCAACACACTACACTCTCTTTGCTTCTCCTTTAAAAACAAGTGAGTTTATACCTTCGCCATCAAGATCGAGGCCCGCTTGTGAGCAGCAAACAGCACCCATACTTGTTATTTTGTGTGTGAATTATTAGTATTTTTCTTGTGCGAGGGCCCGTCTCTGTTATCCTGTCAAGGTAGTATGTGTCGTTCGTTGAAGCGTATTTTCCTTACAGAGTAGTAATTTGTGATAGATCGAAAAAAAAAAACGAAGAGTTTGGGTATGCAAGCAGTAGAGTATTTCAAAAGTACATTGTACGGTATGCGGATATAAGAAGAGATTTCAAAAACGAGCGAAAGAGAGAGAGGGCGAGAGAGGTACAAGGTTTGCTTTTGAGCCATGTACCGTGGTGACACCATCTGACTTGCAATCATATTTGACATTGCCATCGCACTGATTATGGCAATAAACTTGATTTCATTGCCCATATCGTTACGTTACTTTTTATAGATCCCTTCTACTTTCCTTGCGAATGACAAAGGGAGCACATAATACTTGCCTTGCTAAGGTCTGTGTGTGGACAAGCTGTCGCAATAGTGCAGAATAGTGAAATGGACACTACCTGACTTTCTTCTTAATTGTACGTAAAACCCACAAAGGAAAAAAAATGGTACCAGGTTGTACACGAGCTGCAGCGGGAAGTTTTTTTTTTCATTACGAGTGATATTCTCCCGCTTTCTCAATTACCCATGATGCTTTTTCTCTCGCACACCAGCACAGAGCACACAGCCTCAGCAAGCAAATGTATATATAAACTTGTGTAATCTGTACTGCTAAGGCGTGTGCTGCAATCATACATACTGACCGGCAAAATAGATTTTTCAGAAAATATATGGTAAAACGGACTATCTTCTTTCAACCCCACAGTGTATTCGCTCAGCTATAAGTATCTCTTGTCGAACGTGGATGTTTTGTGGTCGAATTCTCGTGGCATTAGAAACTTGAAACTTTTTCTCGTTTCCCAATTTCTACTAGATCCATAAATAACTGTAGGGTCATCCTACTTTGGCTTTTGTTTGTTCTACGAACCCAAGACTTACTCCGGTCATTTATGAGTACTGTAACATGTTCTCGTTGCTGTCTTCACAGCATATTCGAGGCGACACTTTGGTCTGTAGTTATTAACTATTGGTGCAGAAGGCACAAAGCATCATGCCTTTGGCCTAAGCAACTGTACTTACAAAAAGCTAACAAGACAGCTATAAAAATGTTTTTATGCATACAGTCATTGACTTGGATCATAATTGGACAAACTCAAAGCTCTTTAGCTACATACAGCGCGGTATGGTACATACACTGTCTCATGAACAATCATACTGCTGCAGCCACGTAAGCTTGCCGAATTTGACATTGGTTTCATATAAGCGATAGGCACTCTGTACATAAAATTGATCTTGGTTACTGTCCGCATCTGCAAAAGGATGAATGTTCGACCGTCCCTTTTAAGGCACGCGACGTACCTGAAGGAACAGATAAGACAAATCCCGAATGCGTGGTGTTGAGCTGCGTCGTTTAGATTTTTGTTGTTGTTGTTCCTTCTGTTCAGGGTTGAACACACACGGACATACACACATACCGCTCTTCATTCTATACACAAAAAAAAAACTCTCTATTTAAAACTATGTTTATTGGCGTTGTAGGAACACAATGCAGTGGAAAGCATTCGGTCGCCGAGTACCTCGTTCAAAGACATGGCTTCCAGATCCTAAGCTTGCGCAACAGCGTTGAATTAGATCGGACTGTATGTCAAACTGCACTCGAGTTCTCCAGTGTGGAAGAAATGCACAATTACGTAACTGATCGATGGAGAGAAAACTTTGTTACCTGCGATATTGACGGTCAAAACCTGAGTTTATTAAAGTGAGTTCCTATTTGTCGTGGGGGTAGTAAAATTTTTAAGTGTATATATCCAGGTCATTAATGGTAATGGTATTCGCGCACCCCTTTTTCATGTGTCTAATACAGTAAGCGCCCATTTTTCTTGCTTGTTTCCGTCGAGGCACCATTATCGATGCGGTACCAACGCTTCATAGAAAGGTTTGTTTGCTGCTGAAGTATATCGTTACCTCGTGAAGACATGGCAAATGTTGATGCAGGAGTAAACTAGGTGCGCCGCCAGCGATAGCATTCCAAAACGTACGTTGGAGCAATTTATACAAGACGACGATCAAGCCATGTATAACACCTCGGAACAAGCTTTGCCATTATCCCAGCTGCAAAAGTTACCGCTACATCGTATTATATCGTCGTCCGACATTACCATCACAAACGTATATGCTCAAAAGTGCGATTTCATGGCGTCTTTGGATACACTCGACTTGACGGACCCAGAGCGAATACGGCCGTCATGGGACACCTACTTTATGCATCTTTCCGATCTTGCTGCACGGCGATCGAACTGTATGAAACGTCGCGTTGGCTGCATTCTTGTTAAGGACTCTCGTATCATTGCCACGGGATACAACGGCACACCGCGTGGATTGCGCAACTGCAACGAAGGAGGATGTGGTCGCTGTAATGCTAATGCACCCTGTGGCACCGGTTTGGATCGATGTTTATGCATGCACGCCGAAGAGAATGCTCTTTTGGAAGCAGGAAGAAGTCGAGTGGACTTTGGAATTGGCGTTGTGCTCTATTGTAATACGTACGTCTCCCACCTCTTTAAGTTCTCTTTACTGATACTTGGGAAAAACGCATGTTTCCTAACAAAGGCTCCCTGTATGATCTGTAGATGCCCGTGCCTTGGTAAGCTCTCTCGGAGGTTAGGTGAAGAGACAAAGGAAGAAGAAAACTGACAGCTGATTGTGTTTTTCATCAAAAAATAGGATGCGCGATCAAGATTGTACAGATTGGTGTTAAAGAAGTCGTTTATTCAAAATCATATGGCATGGATGAAATGACAGCCAAGGTATTTGCGGAGGCCAACGTCAAGCTACGTCAACATTCGCCGCCTAGCATGCGGTTAGAGACACAGCCGGCATCATTACAGAAAGATCGAATCATTGAGCAGCTAGGCTTGAAGTAACAGCAGCCTTTTTAATAAATTATTCTTTTTATCATTTTCTTATTTATAAAATAGTAGTTCAATCGGATTGGTTCAACCCATTGAGAGACAAAAAATTTGTGATAACCTCCTTGGTGTTCCGCAGCCACGGAAATCTTTAGTAAAAGGCGAAAGATTTATCCGATCTGATTACAGAACAGAGGCATGAGAGAAAGAGAAACGGCCTTGGAGACGGCCTTCTTTTATATCTTTTCATGGTCGGCAATCGGAGGTTAATTTACACTGAGCTCGAATCGAGAATGTCTCCGGGTAAGTGACGCTAAAAAATTCCCAGTTTGGATGTACCCAGGTCCCCGAGCCGAGGTAAGGGCGCCTTTTCCATGCTTTACGCCGCTTTATCCGAAATCGGAGCTAGCGAGCTAGCGAGCTAGTGTACATCTCCAATGGACTCGCTATTACACGCGCTCGACTACACGCGCTCGAATGTACATCCTCACTCGTCAACAGGACGAGCCGATATCGCTAAATCATATATCTAGCCATACCCATAGCCATCAGGTTGCCTCCAATATTAAGCTGCCGTCAAAAAGGAATTATGTTTCAGGGTTGTTGAGGGACCATCGAGAAAAGCAAACGCCTGAATTTCTCACTGTACCAGTGCTAAATTCAAAGTGTAAACCCATCATACTAGTTTTCTATCTCGCAGTGAGCCTACCCGTCCTCTATCAGATGAGCACCTAGTGTGTAGCAGATGTAAGCTCTAGCTTCGCAAATACCGCTCAACACCTAGGGTAGCCTCACTACTTATATACATTGGGCTCTTATGTCGTTGTATTTCACTCCAACAAGTCTCCAATAGCGCATTGTTCGAATATTGATTTCACAAAGTTGTAATAGCCCCTTTCCGTTAACCCGGTCTACTGTTTGGTCCATCTGATACTGCACAGTATTGCTCAATCTACTCTTCGTAATGAAGAACGGCAATCGGCCGAAAGAAGCAACTGATGTACAATAATGTTGATTTTAGTGAAAACATTGGATCCGATAGTCTTGTGTTACAAATATATCATACACGCGCTTGCTGCTGTGATGTAATCTTCCAGTAAGTGGTCAAAACCAATAGTGACCCGGCCAAGCAAAATTTTCAAGGAAACGTCACCTGTACAGTTAGTAAAACTAAGACGTTGAATTTATAGCCTAATAGATCCTTTTATTATGTGCCTTTATCTGATATACCTTTGAACAACGCCGTTTCTATAGCCTAAATTTACATATGCAGTTCAAAGAATATAATGCATTAGCATGACTCATGGGGCTTTAACTGATTAAAGCCAATAATCAATACATTGCTTTTTGATTTAATGATGATGTAGCACCGCGGTGTTGCCTTCTACAGAATCAGTAACATGTTCGGCCACATTCCATCCGTGAGTATACTTTTTTTTAGTAAATGTTAGCATTGTGGCATATCCGAAACCCTCCGTTTTTGCTTGACATGTGCTGGTATACAGGTAATCCAGAAAAAACAGCAGTAAGAGCAAGGCTGAAAACAAATTTCGTCTGCTTCGATTTACGCCCGGCCTGACGTGATCGATAGTAAAAGTAACCCAACCGCTAATACAATTTGTATCTATATCGGCTGAACCGGACTACAACAATAAAATGCCGGTAGCAGCCTACTACATCATCCGCTACACAAAAAGATGGTCGAGTAGCAGAATATGGCTTCCTTTTAGCAGCTGTTATGTGATTCTTCCTTTGTCTTCAAGAGAGCAAGGAGGACGATCAGTGAGCATGAAGGTGCGGAGTTCTCAAGTTTAAGCGCTCAGAGCATAGATAAAGTGCATCTCTCTCTTTTTGTTTCAACCACCATATCTTGATCGAATTTACACGCAACATAAGCATATGTCATATTCATCCCCAACAACAGATCAAGTGACAGTAACTGAACGACGACGATGCTGGATCTGTTTCGATGAGGACTCCAAAGAACAAGAGGGAAGTGAACAAGTAGTATGGGTAAAGCCATGCAAATGTTCGTTGACTTCTCATGAACAATGTCTCTTGGACTGGATTGCCGAAAATCAAAAGACCTCGCCTCGACATAAAGTACAATGCCCTCAATGCGCTACCCCTTACGTAATTGCCGACAGTGCAAGCCAAACGTTAATTGTGTTAACGACGTTAGACCGATTTGTCCATGCAGCTGCTCCATATATCACGCTTTTAGGTTTGGGCTGCTCAGCACTAGTAACTTCGACAACATTTGGCGCATACACCGTCATGAGCTTCTTGGGGCCAGAGCAAGGAGAGCAGCTGATGGGTGTCCCTGCGCAGTGGTCATGGCGCGTATGGATCAGCCTGCCCGTCATCCCGATGATATTGATCTCGTCTCGGTATCGTTGGGCAGATGGGTTTTTACCCTTCGCGACTTTGTTATTACTGAGAGCGATTGGTAGTCCATTACATCAGACCAAATTTTCGTGGCCTCCTTCCCCAGTGGCGACATTAGGTTTATTTCCATGGATCAGGTATATACACTTTTGTATCAATTTTATAGTCTTCTTGCGGTCCTAAATGTCAGCGGACGAGGAAGAAGGGAAGAACAGTGCCTCTAAAGGTTATATCACACTTTCTCACTCTCCGTATCTATACATAGATTGGTCTATAACAATTTGTTTTTACTCGTACAATTTCGGCTATCACGATTAATACTACGATGTCGATCAAAAAGTTCACAACGCCGATTTCAGCAGCAACATCCGGACGGTGTCCGTGATCGACGTGAATTTGAAATTTTAACCCGAGCCAATACCAATGCCGGCGTTTCCATTATCAGCGCATTAATGTGGCCGTTAATCAGCAGTTGGATTGGCAGGTAAAAGGAAAGCAAGCCGTCAGAACAAAAAAGGATATGATTTGTGCAATAGCTATTCTAAAAAGTATATCTTTTGACTGATAGCTGTCTACATCATATCAAATTGGTTCGGCATTACTTTCCTGAGAATTTCCACAGAAACCTTTTAGGTGGATGTCTGTATGTAATTATCAAGGTAAAGGAGGAAATTTTCGGACACGGCACATTCAACGTATTATCCTCATATCTGTGATCATCAGGACTTTACAAGTCTCTTGTATAGGTGCGAGAAAATACGCCAGCACCGTTCTCGAAGGATTCGAAACCACAACGAGATACCCTAAGCAGCTTTTTTTGTATTTACTCTGCAAAAATGTTATATAAATCGTGTTTTTGTGCGCGTGAAAGAGAGAGATAATAAAGGCTAGTAGCGATTCCTGCCTCGCTTCACTATGTGTCATTCAACGGATATCGCGTCGCAAAAGAGGTTCCCCTTGGCCCCTCATGTTCTAGGCAAGCCCCCAGAACCCAGATAGCGATGTCAACAAGGCTCGATTACGTCTTTGAGCCTCGCGAGCACAACCATTTGCATTTTGATACGTATTGTATGAATTGCCGCTATATCATTTGGGATATCACTTTCTATCTGATACTGTTTCAATAGCAACTCAGCTCCGCGCGCTTTACATGCTCGCTTACCTTGGAAAGTGTTTTCAAAAGTCTAGCATCAAGCTGGACATTAAAATCTGTACTGTTTTGTATGATCCAGGCACTCGTGGTCGCGTAATCCACCATTGCCTCGCAAGGTAGGCCCGGCGCACACTCGTTAGTAAGCTCACTGAAGCAAGCATAAAATCGTATAATAGACAAAGGGGCGTTTAGTCGTTTAATGTATACCATGAGAACAAAACATTTCAAAACCCATGGCCTCACGGCCAGTGTACTTTGAGCGGAACAGCTGAATTGATGTATACTTTATCAATGACAAATTTGCAAATAACGAAAGAGAATACTCCCTGTTTCTCACAAAAAGTTATTGGTGCCTGTTTTTTGGAAAGACCCGTACGTTCTTTCTCAGGTTTACTACTATTAGTTCGCGCCACATGATAAAATATGTTTGTTTAATATGACGATGCAAGATATATTGGTTTGTTGCGTGTTTGTTTACATGAGATTGTGTTGCAAGTTTTATTCATCAACCAGTGAACGAAATGTTTGTCCTCGGTCGGCCGATCCTGCCACTCTTTTTCTTACTCGACGAAGACGACGAAGATGCTCCTACAGACGGATCATCCTCGGGCAACGTATCACCTCCTGCGCTCATAAGCCGATCAATTGCCGCTTCTGATGACGATGATGCTTTGTCTGCCTTCTTTGATCGTTTGCTTGGCCGTGCAGTCTTCTTCTTTTCTTCTTCTTCCGCTTTCCGCTTAAGTTGCATTTGAAGATTATTGTCCATTTCTACATGTGTACAGAAGATTTCGTGAGATATAAATCGACATAGCCATTTCAATCAGAATAAGATGTAAACCTCTCCTTTCTTACCCTCATCATCCAACAACAATGATACAATCTCTCTTGGCTTAAAGTCCACTTGTTTGAATTCGCCTCCAGAAATAACCACTTTTTGAATCTGTAATACAATGGTACAGAAGCCATACAATCGTTAGAAACGGCAAAAACTATGCTTTACTGCGTTGCTCACGCATACGCGTGTTTGGAAAGGATAACATTACCTCGTCCTTTTGCTTTGCACGTTGCAAGATTCGTTCTTCGATGGTACCCTTTGTAATGAGTCTGTACACAGTCACTTGCTTTGTCTGACCAAGACGATGTGCTCGATCCATAGCCTATAAAAGAAAAGCATATTACCGGGTCATTCCTCTGCTTACACACACACACACACAAGATGGATCAAAATACAAAAAAACACCATACCTGTTGATCCACAGTCGGATTCCAGTCACTGTCGTAAAAGATTACAGTATCGGCGGCTGTCAAGTTGATACCCAGACCACCAGCACGCGTACTCAACAAGAAGATAAAGATTTCGGGCCGTGTTTGCCAATCTGATACCATGTCACGTCGATCAGAAATCTTCGAAGAGCCATCGAGTCGCAGGTATTTGTATTGCTTGTATGAGATGTATTCTTCAAACAAATCGATCATGCGAGTCATCTGGAAGTATACCAAGCATCGATGGCCTTCCAATTTTAACTTTTCTAGCAATCGATCCAGTGTCGCCAATTTGCCCGAATCCAAAATAAGATCACGCATTGCTGTAATACAATTTTATGTGTGACACGAAGAATCATGTCAGAAAGAGACTGTGCGGGCATGTAATATTTGAGGGATTCTGTTATCAAGAGAAAGGAGCATGGAAGCTTACCAGGAACTTTCATCATAGAGTAGCCATGACCGGAGACCGGTACAGTCATGATTCCTTGACCATTGGACTTGCGTGTCACTGTGGATAACTCAACAGCTTCGGATCTCATGGACATACTGACGTACTGCGGTTTGCCGAAGAGACATGCACGAATTGATGGATCGAACATTAAGTTGACTTGATCATAGTTGAATGATCGGTCAGAACAAACAGCATCAATCGGTACAGTGCGAGCCTATACACAACAAATATATGTCGATAACGTATTCGTACGAAAAAATTCAAAAGCAAACAGAAAAGTAAACATGCTTACCCCTGGAATATAGGATTGATCAAATTGTTCAATCATGTGATTCATTTGTTCGCCAACGCTCGTCAAATCATCCATGACACTTCCAGGTACCACGGCCAGTCGGGCAGTGGGTGCATAAGTCTCACTTATGAGGAAACTTGCGTAAGTGTTAATCGGTGCTGAAGGATACTTTTCTTCGTCCCGGACATAGAATCGCCGTCTTGCACTGTGATCTCTTTGTGACAAGTACGAAATCCACCGCGTCACCAAAGACTGCTTGAACATGTAACTTGCTTGCTGCGGTGATGTATCAATGAATCGAAGGAAGGAGAACGCAGCATCTAATGTCATCAAAATGAAAGTTAGAGACTTACTACCAGCATATTTTCAAACATCATTATTTACCTTTTTCATCAGAGTACATGGACTCTTGTATATAGTCAGGCTTCCAGATATTCATCAAGTTGTCGAGGTATCGAGTGGAAAAACCGGCATTGGAGTGAGGGCCAGGATTTCGTAAAATTCCTCCATTGCGGTAAAGGTGTTTGGGAATGTGATACTTGATATGGCTTTGAGAAGAATACGGACAATACAAGGACGATTCTTTGGTGAGTGAGCCGGTTTCACTAAAGGCACAGAAAGCTAGGGGTGATTGGACATCTGCGCGTTCAAATAACTCTGGATGATTGCAGACCTAAATATCGCGTACGTTAGATACATTTGAGTTTGATTGCCACTCATTTTTTAACCTCCTCCTAACGTTCCCTGTCCTTCAATAAATTAACGCTCCTGCTAACCTTTCGAAATTGCATGACCAAGTTCATTAAACTGTCCATGCTTTCTTCGTTGAGGGATGTTGCCTTTTCTAAAAGTTCTGAAATTGAAATCTTTTGTTTGAGGCCACGATACAATGCTCGTTGCCGTGCTGTGAGATCGCAGTAAACTTCAACTTCAATCTATGCATTCGTTAAAAAAATGTGTTTGGTCAGTCAGCAAGCGTCGGCAACAACATCATGCTGTTAAAGCTTTTATTTTACCTTTTCCCCAAGTTCGTGTTGAACATTGCGCTTAATACGTCGTAACATGAAAGGTTTAAGAATCATGTGCAAACGCCGTAATTGATGCTCGTTCAGCGTTCCCTTGTTTTCGGCATGGCTTTCGATGTCTTTAGAGAACCATTCGCTGAATTCCTCGTGCGAGTCAAATAACGTTGGCATAATAAAATGCAATAGTGCCCACAGTTCTATAATGTTTGATACGTGTTTGAGTACATTGAAGCTTACATTCGAATTAGACTGCAACATATTAGTACTTTTCCAGCATCATCATACCTTGCATACTGTTCTGAATAGGTGTACCGGTGAGTAACAAGCGGTTTCGACAGTGAAAACCAAGCAATTGTTTCCATCGAGCACTTGAAGAGCTCTTGATGGCTTGGGCTTCATCAAGAACCATGTATTGCCACTTGACGCGTTGAAAATAGCTAACATCTGTCAGAACCTATAGACAAACACGGTCAGTATAGAGCTAATAATACCAAATTATCTAAGAGCTTTGTTTTCACATCCCACATCCATACCAGCTGATAACTTGTAATCACGACATGAAACGGTGCGTCACGGCCGTAAAGCTGCTTTCGGTTCCAAAATTGTCGCAGCACCTTACGATCCTTTGGATTACCCCAGTATGGTAGCGCCTAAGAGATTGGCACATATACTTTTAGTACAAGCGATGCTACATACACGTATTCTCCACCATCGCCACTCAAAACACTAGTACAAGCTAAAAATTCGAGTAACTTTACCCTAAATGACGGAACAAACTTGGACACTTCTTGTTGCCAATTATGCAAGGTTGAAGCAGGCGCAATGACCAAAAACGGACCCCAAATATTATGTACCTCTGCAAGGTAGGCCATCAACGAGATCGACTGTACAGTTTTACCGAGACCCATTTCGTCAGCAAGAATACCGTTGATGCCCTGTTCGTACAAATTGGCTAGCCAGTTCAGGCCCTTAAGCTGATAGCTCTTGAGTTGACACATGAGCATGGATGGTTGCTTGATTTCTTCTGTGCCCATACTCGAGGGATCTTGAAAATTCATGGTGTCCACTAAAGAAGACACACGTATTTTGTCAAGAAAACAGTACCGGTAAGCGTTTTATAGTTCTTAAGTGCAAACCCTACTATAAAATATACTTACATTGTGCAGCACTCATGGATATGTCAGATGTTTCACTGGCAGCCAAACGTCGCTCACGAGCTCCCTCGTCAAATGCTCTAGTCTTTTCACGTTGTTTGGCGAGTGCATTTTGAGCACTACGTCGAGCCTGTTCACGAAGTTTCTCTTCGTCATCTAGAAAAAAGCAAAAACATCTTCAATAACCTCAACTATTCAAAACAAGATATGTTCAGGACTCGTATACCAAGTTTTGCTTTGCTTTACCTTCATCGAAATCTATCTCATCCAATGCCTGTTCTTCGCCCGTAATATCCAGTTCTTCTTGTTGATCTTCTGCTGTCTCATCTGATTGTGCCGCTGCTGCTGTAGCTTCTTCGCTGGCAGCTACAGCCGTCTCATCATCTTCGCCAGTATCTCCTTTAATTTTGCGCCCAATAAAGTGACTGTACAACTCGGTCTGCGTGATTAAAAAGTTGAGCTTGCGTGCCTGTCGCTGGGCTTCACGTCGTTCTTCTTCAAGTCGTAATTGTTCGAGCGCTTCCTTCTCTGCCTTCTTCCGCAGTTCTCGTTCTTCCTTTTCATTCTTCTTCCAAAAGACCAGCATCTAGATTATTTGCCCATCAAAGATATCAATATCAATATCAATAAAACAGATCTCCATAACAATATTCATTCAAGGATCCGTCTGTTTTTCTTTTCATACCTCCTTCATCGCACGCTTTGCTCGAGCTTGTACATCCTTATTAATACGTCCACCCTTGGTAGCAGAACGTCGAACCTCCTTTTGACAATACTGTGCAATCTTTTTACAATTGCCAGCTCGTGTTGCCTGAACACGCGACAGGATTCTAGCCATCTAATATTGCAATGAGAAGGTTTGATTATCGGCGATCCATTATGGTTCGATGGAAATTTCTGTTGCTGAACGACCAAGATACGTACTCTAGGTATGTGCTTTCGGGCAATATCCAGCCAAACTGCACGACGGGCATCTTCCAGTCGCTCGCTAGCCGTTTTTTCAATTTCTTTTGGTTGCATCACTTGCTCTTCGGTTTCCTCAGTCTCTTCGTTGACCATTCTCTTATGTCCATGTTTAGCCTTTTTATGTTTACGTCGTTGCCTTTCCTTATCTTCTCTCGCAGCTTGAAGCAATAAAGCTGCTGTGCTGGAGACAGGAGTTTCATTGCTGTTCACACCATTGGTCTGTTGCTTCAGCTCCGATCCATATCGCTTTTCGTAAATTCTTTGCAAATGATTACTGATCAAGGCATGGCGATGCTGTACAAAAAAAACATATTAATCACCTCAGCCCGTATCGCATACACACACGTTCTGCATTCCCATTCTTTTAGTTGTCCTTGTCAATATAGAAGATCTGGTACTTACTGCGCGCTTATTTTCATATTCTTCAATAACGTTTTGTTTTCGTCTATAGACATCAATCATGTACTGAACCATTTCTTCTCTATGTGTATTGAAGATTTCTTCGTCGTCATCGTCGTCTGAAAGATCGAGCTCCTCAAGCGTCCTTTCCGTCAAGGTTTTCACGCGATGACCATCGTGCTCACTAAATTCTTCTGCGGAAGAATCGTCGCTGAGTTCATATCGGCGGCGACGTCCCGCTCGAGGTCGTACTCGCCCATTGTGCTGCTGTTGCTGCTGTCTCGCATGGCTTTGTTTGGCTTGACCGTTCACAGCGACTACTACCTTAGGTGCTGATACATGATCAGGAGAGGCAGGAGTTTCCGTTGGGACGGATGGCATGAGTGGGATGTCTTCTGTATCCGTATCCGAATCAGCCATTTGATACATCTCTTCAGTGTCGTTGTTCAGCAAATTTTTGATTCCATTGCGAAATCCTGGTTGTGGTGCTGGATCGGACACAGGTATAGGAGCAGGCTTTTCGGGCGTTGTTGGAGCTGATGCTGGTGCAGGTGCTGTCGTTGAACTAGGAACAACCGAATCGTCGTGTATTGCTGCCGCTGGCTGCACTGATGGAGGCTGCGATTCATACGACGCTTCTCGATTTTCATAATAGGATGGTCGATCCGATGGATGCTGCTGTTGTTGTTGCGGCTGGGTCGGTGTTGACGTTAGCGAAGGTCTCGATGGTGCATCCGAAGACAGCAATTGTGATATCGACATGACAGGCGATGATGCAGCCTGTGAACGATCAAAATGGAATCCCTAGTATGACGATTCGAACAGAAATTTTAATAAGGTTGAGCGTTCGTGTATCCTTTTTGTGGTTTTTCAAACTTTAAAAGGTATACCTGAGGAGGAGACAAATGTTCTTGTTTGACTTGAGATGGTCTCGGTGGCGCCGCTGAAGTTACAGGCGGAGCGCGGTACGGCAATGCCTAAGCAGTAGTAAAGTAAATAAAAGAATGCCTCCGACTTGTAACTAGATGTTTGAAAATTTTAGTCGATTCCAACTTACATGTTCGGCGGCAGAAGCAGTGGTCGCTGATTGTGGAGCACCAGCGGGTTCTCTGTTTGTAGTATGAGCAGAACGTATGGGATCATACGGGGCATTTGAAGAAGAAGTATTGGATGGTTGGTTTATCGTGGGTCTAGGAAGCTGAAAGGGCGAGTTATTCGTGCCCAAATCTACGGGAAGCGGCAATGATGGTGCACCTGAGCGACTATAATCCCTGTGGGAGGATTGGAACGCACCACTGTACTGTTGTCGATGCGGGGGCGGAGGAACAGTCTACATCAGCAATAAATATACATACCGTCAATAATATATACGAGAACACGAATACGGCGTGCAGTATGTCGAATAGAAAAAGCAAACTAAAAAAAAAGACCCGTACTTGCGGTAGTGACCGGTGATTGCTATAGGGTTGTCTTTCCGCATAATCCCATGACTGAGGCGACGTTGATGAATATGAACGCGATGGCGCTGGTGGATACGGATCCCGTCGGCCATAGTCCACCTGTTGTTGCGTGGGATAAGGCTGGCAGTGCATGTTTGAAGGCAATTGCGACGGTGGAGGCAGCGAAGGACCTGCATAGCTGCCATTAGATGGTGAACGTCTGGTAGTATATCTATCCCGCTGTTGTTCTTCTCTTTCCCTATTAGTTGGAGAAGAGGAAGAAAAAGGTTGAAACGACGATTCCTGCTGCTGCTGCTGCTGCTGCTGCTGAGAAGCATTCGACGATGGCTGTTGTGGTTGAATTTGAGGTTGCATAGTGTTACTACCGTGTTGTTGCTGCTGTTGTCGAGAAGGCTGATCAGAGGATGGTCCCTGTTGTCGATGCTGATCAAACGCCATTTACATCAACAGAAGTGAGATTCGTCAAAAGAGGAAGGAAAAAGAAGAAAGGAAGTGGGCCTTTTTGTTTTTTTGGGCTCAGTCACTCACTACAGAGTCCTTGTGGAGCTAGGCGTGCGTTTGGTCTGTTTGTCTTGGACTCTCTCTTCAGGCAGTGGGTTCGCTTTCAAGTCACGCTCGCCCATTTCTTGAAGAGCGGTAAAACTTACTTTCCTCTTCTAATAAATCGATTTTTCTTTCTTTCTCTCCTTAGTTCGCCTATTATAGATATTGTCATATATTGATCACGTAGACGAGATGAATCCTTGATGTAGTAAAGCCTGTCGCCGTTTTCCATGCAGTAGATAATTTATATAATAGCAGCAGACAGCAATTATCATCAGAGCCAACGTTAAAAGAAGATTTGCCTTTCAAAGCTACTATCAACAGACACAATCGATGTGTACGCACGAAAGGGTTATCCATACTGAATTAACGGCTGCTTACAAACAGTTTCCCGTGCTGAAACACGCGCTGGACACATGAATAAGGGAACAAAATGTGTAGATGTACTACAAACAAGACCAGCAGGAAGGAAACGCCTTGCCGTGCACGTCATCTAATCCAATGACGCGGCATCTTTTGGCAAAGGCAAAAGCGGGCATAGCAGTGATTACTAGCACGTTGATTTTCATTGTCATTTTTTAAGAGCAAATAGAGAAATGCACCCAACACTGATTATGAATTGTTCACTCCCCCGAAGAACTCAGGAGTCCCGCTTACTGCCCAGTGTGAGTTTACGTATTCTTCGTGCGCTACTAGCAAACTCAAAGCCCAGTTGGATTATCGGAACTTCAATGTGTACATTAGTACACTTAGCAGAAACACTGTGTAAAACATATCGGACAGTACGTTCGGACCCGTTGAGTATGATAGCGACATTCGGCTCTTTGATTCGAGTTGTGGGAGCAGCGGTCGGATGCGAAATACACCGGTAACCAAGATAACCAAGCCCCGTAGCCTAGCAACTACTTCTGCATCTAGCTAATGCATCCAATCCAAACGTTTATATGGTGATAAATGGGATAAGCGACCGATCTCATCTCTAGCTTTCCCGTAATTGATATCAGTAGCAAAGAAGGGTGCGGGAAAGACCGGATGATATGTTCTATGCAATTACTTCTACACGAAAAGAAAGTCTATCGAAACTGAGGCCATCGTGGTAAAATTATCAACATTAATAATAACTCCAACACCATGGAAGCCTGGTCACACATGAAGCGATTGCGCCATTCTAAACGAGCTGTACATCGGCCAGTCATAATCAAGCATTTTTAAAAAGGAAATAAACAAAAGGCCGAACTGACACCTTTTATTTCTTGGTTTTGCTTTTTTTTTTCCTCAATAGCTCTACACAAAAGCACATTACAATCACTGATCCCTAATGCCAGCCCAAGCGATTCCCGAACTGCTCGATATACCGTCTTTTAAACATTTGACCTTGTACACTGGCAATGTCATGAGAACTAGCGTTGCAGGACGCAGCAAAGCACTCAGCAAAAAATCGAATACCGAGGCGAGTTTTTTTTTTCTGGTTTAGCTAGCAAAAGAAAACCGCGCTGGAAATTCAAATTCCTTACTGTATATACATGTGCTTGTATGTGTATAGCTGATAACTGCTATTGACGATACATTGTATGCTTCCCTTGACCGGGATGAGCCGTCCTTCCGCTATCATGAACAAGAGTCGCTTTTGGAGGTGCCTGATCTTCGATCGCGTAGCCGGATCCTGCCGGAAGATCGAAACGATGTCGAAGTTACAGGTTATTAGTAGCGCCACGGCGCAGGATTAGTACATTGTTTATGTGTCTCTGTGAAGGGGTTCAAAAGAGTCTTACTGTTTGCTTATGCATTTTTAGCCAAGTTGTTTTATTTGGGTCAACAACAGAATAACAACAACGTAGCATCATATATACGCTCAGGCGTACAGCATCTTCAAAAGGTGCTTGGAGTGGATGCGATCGATACGTTTATTGTATCGTTTGGCGGTCGATCTGAATCCATTACGCCCGCATGGCAGCAATTGGAAGTGTTACATCAACGGAATCATACGCTGGGGAAGCTCGGTGTAGCGGATTTCTCGCAAGAACAGCTTGAGTCCATTCTATCCAACCCAGCAGTAACGGTCAAACCCTCAATCAACCAGATTAACGTGGGCCAGTGCTGCAATATGCCGTCGGCAATGATTGAACTGGCAAAGCAACATAATATTGAATTACTGCATAATGGTGACCGAGCTGGTAAAATAACGAAAAGGGGATTTATTTGTCGTTCATGCACATTTGCTGACTAATTATTGCGAAAATTTGAACAAACAGACATCCTCGACATCGAGTCACTCTCGGCATTATTGCGGAAGCACAACGTACACGCCACAGTAGCGCCCCAATTTGTCATCAAGTATCATGTGTTTGTAAAGTGTCGGAGCGTTGTCAGTGACAAGGGGTAAGTCATACCTTCTTTTTGGGGTGGGAACATGTGCATTTCTAGTATTAACACTCGACAACGATTCTCAGTTACATAGTGGTTGGCGATACTTTAGCATAGTACCACAATCATCCCTTTATATAAGCTTTTAGTATAAAAAGACAAGCACAGGAATAGAAAAGGAAAGTCAAAAAGAGCAAAAGGCGAGAAAGGACTTGGCGTTAGTTTTGACGAAGAGATATAAGTGTTTCTTGGCATGGAGTATGTATGTGGCGAAAGAGGAGCAAAGGCGGGGTAGGAGGGTAAGGGAGGGATATAGTGTGTCTGTGAAGAGTGGATAGAAGCTCATCCAGCCACTCATAATACAACAGATAGTGGGTATTTCAAAGACCCAGTCTGAAAAATTTGGCTGAGCTTAAGATCCACGCTGAAAATAGAACGTCAACTGGTTTTTATAACTTTAAAACTAATCTCACAGAACGAACGCGTCAGAGTATTGATCTTCTAGCGACGACTTGATGGACTTTATTATCGTCACTATCGATGGTAGCGCAATTGCAATAGTAATTACGCAAAATCCGAGATGTACCTGTACACATGATATTCCACGTCTATATAACCAAGTGTCACATTGAGAGGCCGGAGCTTAGTTGGTCCCTCAACAACCATGACATACAACTAAACCTGTATAAAGTCTTTTGGTCCCAGGGAAATATTAGCATAGTATACCTCAAATTGCTACATCAGTTTTAGGATACGACAGTGGGCAGAGGCGATCATAATGCTCTTGACCAGCTGTGTCCCATAATCCAAGTTTGATTGGTTTGCCATCAACCACTACGTTCGCTGAGTAATTATCAAACCTATGGTATTCGTACGACAGCCCACTACATTTTGAAGTGTACAGTACTAGGACAGGCGTTTATGCTACCCCCTTGAACCTTGTTGGCTTCATTCAGCTGCAGACGTAGCACTCGCTAGGAAAGGATGCCGTATAATGTAATAGATATTTTATGTTATGAACGAGAACCATGCTCTTTTCCGTGTATACGTGAATCTCCATTTGCGATCGCCGATACTCGATAAAAATGAAAGAACTATATGATAATACACTTCGTCATTGTGTCTAAAAGAGTGAGTTAAACAATTACCACACAGATATCACTTGAAGCGTGTTCCTCTTTTTCATTCTGAGATACAACGTATATAGCAACAATTAAGTTCAAAAAAGACGGTGACGTATAATAAAATCATGAGGCGTCGCTTACACCTCTCTTGCTGCCGAGCATTGAATGGGGTATAACCGTCGTCTCATCTAAGCAAATGTATCTATGGAGAAGTATACAGATGCATACTATATTCAACAATGTCTGATGGAGAGATTAACAAATCTGCTTTTTACAAAGAAAATGTCTGATAGATGATGCATGCCAAAATGTCCTTTGAATACTTAGTAAACAATCCAGAGATTTATGTGCGAGAAGAAATAAAACGGAAGCGGCGATAGAATAACGGGAGGTCGAAGTACAACTTTACACTGTTTAAAAAAATGTTGGGAAGAATGTATATAGGGCTTTTCTATTTAAACTGATCTTCAGTAACACCTTTGCCCATGGCGGCTGTTGCTGCAACACCGCCAGTGACGACCTTCATCAACTCATCAACATAGTTGGCACCCGACCATTTCTGATGTTGAAGAACGTCAATGCTGTTCTCACGTTCCTTGCGCTGCACATTGGAGACATAGCCGTACATGCCCTGCTCCTTGAAAGCCTTGGCAAATGTACCTATCACAATGTCAAACAGAAATAGGGGTCAATACAAGGCCCAGTTAAACCCCCTTATATACTTTTCTTCCAGAATTGTACCTGTTGCTAATGCATTGGCATGCAAACCACCCAAGGTGATGAATTGCCAAACGAATCCGAGGCGGCCGAGCTTTTGAACGAAGGATCCCATATCCTTATCGTTCATCCCAGCGGCATCCCAGTTGAATGATGGAGACAAGTTATAACATAACAAAGATTCCGGAGAGACGCTCAAAACGCCACGGGCGAACTCTTCGGCCTGTTCCAAAACCGGCTTCTTGGTCTCCATCCACAGCATATCGGCATACTCGCTGAAGGCAATGGAACGAGAAATAGCAGCATCAGTTCCTCCCTCGTAGCGATAGTGGCCTTCACGTACACGAGGCAAGTCCCAATTCCAAAATATGTCGACGCCATACGATTTGGCGATATCACGCGCTTCGGTGTTGCTCTTGAACTTGATGTTTTTGAGAAACTCGTCGACCTTGTTGGTCTTGCCAGTGCGGCGCAATTCATCCGCAACAGCTGTGCCGTAGCGCTTCAATCCAGCCTTGCTAATCCAATCGTCTTCAATTTGTTGCAAAGCAGCACCGTTCTTGCCTGCCTTTTCAGCGTCTGTCATAACGAGAGCCAATGGCTGCATATGGGGATTGGTGGCACCAACGACGAACTCGTGATCGCGACTGTCAACGTTGCTACTGATCAACGTAGCGGCTTCAGCGTCCGTGCGTGCAACAACAATATTTTCGACGCCCATGATATCGTATTGTACGCGGATCGCAACCAAACGATTGATGTGTTCGCTTACAGGAACAAGAACTTTGCCAGCCATGTGTCCGCACTTTTTGGTAGCAGGTGATTGATCCTCGACTATATAAGCATTATAACCAGATGAGCTAAACTGTTGCTTAAAATTCAATCCCTCTCTTCCTCCTCTCCTTTTTTTTCTTATCCTACAAATTTACTTACCGTGGATGCCGGCAGCACCGCGCTCGACAAACATCTTTGCCAACTTCATGACTGCAGTAATACCACCGTGACCCGTATCGGCATCAGCGATCATAGGACGCAGGTAATCGATCTTGGGCGTTTTGGCACGTTCCTCAGGGGTCATGGAAAGACGTGCTTCACGCTGCTTGCGGTCATGGAAAAGCTGAGCAAAGAACAAATGTTCAACCTTGTTGGGGACAGTATCCATGGGGTAGTCAGCAAGATCCGGGCCAGGTTCGTTGCTAGTTGATGCCGTTGAAGAGCACTGCCAGCCGCTCACGTAGCTGGTAATATCGTTTTGAAAATGAGTACACTGGTGGAACGATTTTTGGCAGACATATTGGCAATGATGAATAAGGACTTACACAGTGTCTAAATGAGGAGCCATTTGGGTGACTTGGACGGGATCAAGAGCACCAAACGTGTGGCTGGTGTTACCAGTTCGCTTGTTGTGTTGAAGGATATCCCAGAGCTTTTTACCTTGTCCATTGGATCGGTATTCAGTGGGAATGGTACCACGCTTGGATACAATTTGTTCAGCAGTGTAGGGACGCTTGACCAGTTTGAAACGAGGCGAGGTCCACCATTGCTTGACTTGTTCGACCTTTTCATTGTAGATAGGATGTTAGAAACCGTACTGACTGAACTTGGAAAGCAAAAGCTACATATCATGTCAACACAGACCTCTTGGCGAAATTCGGTTTCTTCTTGATCATAGAATGCCATGACGATAGATGAAAACTTTTGGGGTGAAGGATTACTGTACTTTTGGTATGGAAAGAGAAGGTGTTGTGAAAGATGTATGGATCAGCTCTTGGATGAAAAAGAGAGCTACATGTATTTATAACTTTTTCTTAGGGGAGACCAGGGAATGCCTCTGCTGCTAGCACAGTGATGATAATGATGAGCGGCACGCTTCATATTGGGTGGCGGAACACGGAGGGGGGAAAGCAAGGAGAAAGCAGTACTCTGCATAAATAGATGCAGGCAAGCATAACGTATAGGCATGGTGCTGCTTGTAGCCCCTGAGTGGGCCAAACAAAGAAGGGTTATCATCTGCGTGTGCTTCTATTAGTTGGCGCTTTTCATTTCTGTTGATAACCCCTTTTTTGAATATCAACGCTCCTGGACTTGCTTGTGAAGAATCGAAGGAAGTGTAGAGCGAATACAGCGAGCAATGATGCTAGTCTATGCAAAAAAATAAAAAATGACTTATTCCGCAAGCATGTAGACATTACTGCTGAAGTATTTCTTCCGCATGCAGTATGAAAAAGCATACGAAATCTATCCTGGTGACATAAATATCGGTTGTAGGAATTTTGGAACGTTTTAAGTACATCGTGTACCCCCCTTGATGATCATCGGTGTTAATTGCTCTTTCGGTGGCGGAAGCATGCAACTTGGTCGTCTGATGTTTTTTGAAGAAAAAATAGGGGGTGGGAAGTAGCAGAATACATGATGATAATAGTCAATGAAGAACACGCTTTCGGTAAAAGGAGGACTGGATTTCGGTACTTATCGACACAGTGTACCACTTCATTGCTATCATATATTGTAAGCCGGGTAAAGGCACATACTAGGACATGATCTTATTAAGTTGGGCCAATGTGCACGCTTTCACTATAATTTCTATCTTCAGCCGCAATTGTCCTGTCGAAAATACAGTAAGACATACTTGGGCCGTACTTTCATATGAGCTGAACTGGTCGATCCTCGTTCAAGAGCAATTTAAAGTGCTATCAGGGAGACATATAGGCGTTATAGAAACCAACACTGGTGTACAAATAGCCCGTATGTTATGTAATTGCAGTGCTATACTCATGACACTTTTATTTGAAAAAGGGCTTTGTCAACGATCTGCAATATAACAATCATTTGACAAGACAGTTGGTGATGTCTTTTGGCGTCTGTTTTTAAATGCTCTAGACCAAAGATTAGCGGCTTTATATCTAGAAAAAAGAATACGGACAGCACGCACGTCTGTCACTAATTATATGGTTTTGCTGAAAGCATCTGTGAGTGACGAAAAGGAGCGTGTGTTAAATTTAAAGTTTGTCAATACTGCATAAAAGAGAACATTCTACCGCTTGAATGGCAAGTGCGGGATCTAGTCCACAGATTCTCTTGGCACACTCAACATATAGTTTTTTCCGGAAGAAGCGTGGGACAAGGAGGGGCAGCGTGGACTGAGGAACAGTATCACTATAGTGTTAAAGTTACATGACAATGTTTGCAAAGGCGACACGTACACGCAATATAGTGATGCATATCCTTCCATGAGTAATTAGGTGATATCACACACAGTTACTGCGAGCACAGTTAATGTTTCCAATTTTTGCGTGAAGATTTGACGTTTTCCTTTAAGTTGAGCAGATCAGTGAGGAAGCGTACCATTCGAATCGCAAGATATTAGTTTATTAGCTTAAACTCAGGAATACCACAGACGCAACAATGTGTTTGTCAACAAGTCTGATATCAGAGAACGAGGAAAGGGGATAATGGATGAGGCGAGTACATTGGGAATGGTTGACGGATCCTTTTTTGTACACTAGCACCAAAAAAGCCTTTGGACTTTTCCTAAATTCCGCAAAAGCACTTTTCTGCTCGTTTGCTAAGACATTACTTTAACAGAATAATAATAATGATGGTCGTATATGATGTGCATATTATGAAAAGTAATACTTATTTAATCTCCTCGAGCTATCATCACAGCTTTTAATCGGTTCGGCGTACCCTCTTCAACGTGTTCTGCTACTTCGACTGAGAGCTTGCTCCGTTCTTCTTGTAGAGCTCTTCTGTATCTTTGATGGGCGTTTTGTGTTTCTTTATGGATTTTCCCACTCACTAAGGTGTGCGATCGGGTTTAGATTGGAGCTTTGAGGCGTTTGACATCGTCCTTTCATGTACAAAGTAGTGTAGCTACCTGTACGGCAACTAGCCCCATGTTCTTAAAAAATAAACTCGTACTCTGTTTATCTGGAGACTTTTTTGAGGTATGGAAGGAAATGGTGGGACGGACAGTTGACATACACGTTTTGGTCGACATTGCCACTCATAACAACAAGTAGTCCCAAGCCTACTTTCCAAAAGCAGATTCAGACCATGTCGGATTCCTTTCTAAACTTTTGCGTTTTAGGGATATGTCTATCCAGGAAGCGTTCCCCATTCAACCACATGGAATCGTGGCTCGTCGGACCAAATCCATTGCTCCACTGATCTAGTGTCTGATCCTTGTATTTTCACGAGTCCATAATAGCTGCTTGGTCTTTTGCACTTTGCTAAGTGCTGGTTTACGAAACGAAAATCGTAGGTGGAAGCTGCCCTTTTTCAAGTACTTGATCATTGTGTCCCGAGAAATTTTCAAGCCTGCATTTGCAATTTAGCCTGGTGGAACCGGTAAGGCAAATGATGGAGTCACGGTGTACACTACGGTATAAAGTGTTTATGTCCCTCTTCGAGGTCTTGAGTGGTTGTCCACTTCTTGATTTGTTTGCCACAGAGTCTGTTTCTTCCGGTTGTTGATAATGTTGCAAACAGTGCTGCGGGTCTTCCTATCTTTTTGAACTGGGGCGCTTTTTTATTCCCCTTACAGAGCCCAATGATTGTGTGCTCGATGCTTTCCGGAAATTCTTTAAGTCGTTCGTGAGAGGCAATGGCATTATTGATCATGCTGTTAAAGACACTTTGGAGGAAAGAGGAGAAGGATATGAAAAGCATCCAAAGGTAATGTATATGCACTGTGTTATTTTTGGTATAGAAAGAATTCTAAGACTTTCTGGGTGGCAGTGTAGAACGTAAAAAGCGAACAATGAATCTCAAGCAAGCATTTTTGCAAAATATAGAAGGTATCCGCAACGGGCCTAGTATATGTCGAGGTCGGCAAATAAACAGCGACAGGATCCAGAGAGGAGAACCCTGCCATGTGAGCCAAAAATAGCGGATACAGCGAAATACACACAGAACTCTACCTCAGGGATATCTAGAAAAACGCTCAAACTATAGTGGGATTCTCAAACAGGGTCTTGATATAGTCGAACAAAATAAACAAAGCGAAAAAAATGTAGAATGCGCTCGTGTCAAATCACTAAGAGCACTTGCAGCGGTGCTTGTAAATGGTCTGTTAACTTTATTTTACAATTTCTTTTACCAGTCTGTTCTCACGACGGTTCTTGTAAATCCAGCTGTTAAATAGAGATCCTAGTAATACTCCGGCCCCTGTCGCTAGTGTCGTTTTATAACTTGCGGTTTCTAGACTATTTGGTCTAACCGCAAGAACCGCAAAAACCGCAAACTGCGGTAATTGAATCGTGTGACCCAGACTTTGATATGTAGCAGTATTAACTCCCATAATACATGACTTCCCCTCCTTCTCCGTAGTTCCAATAAACATGCCTCCCAAACGTGCACGAGGATTTGGCAACAAACGCGTCTCATCTTTTGCAAGTCTTAAGAGCAACGGAGCGAGAAAAGTAATCAGGATCACGCAGCCTTTGGATCTTGGAGGCACTTTGAGTGTCCCACCTGTAGTTCAGCCAGCGTCCAAGCGATCGCCCATGCGCGATGAGAACACAAATTCTTCGAACAAGAGAAGAAAAGCTGACAATCGTGCTCAAAGCTGGGCAAACATTCTACCTTCCCTTCTTACAGCTTATAAGCAAGGTTATGGTATTGAGGAGCCTGCACCTCAGGCGCTGGTTCCCATTGACGATCCTCTGCTTTGCCATTGTCCTGAAAGCAAGCGAAAGGAAAAGACTGTTACTTGTATTTACAAGTGCGGTGCGTATAAAAGGAAATCATATCTTTGAAACAAAGGAAGAATATGTTACTGATGTTAACATGTATGCTTCAGGTATCCGTACTGCCACAGTTAAATATTGCAGCGAGTGCCCAGATCATTCGTTGCCGTTGGTATTGATGCGCCGCCACCTGTTTCCCATGACACCATCAGGGCCGAATCACGCTGTTCATATCGAGCAAATGCGCAGTTTTCATAACCTGCACTACATTTGCAGTGTTTCGGTCCATTCCATTGCAAGTTGGGCCCAAGCAGAGTATCATCAAAAGGTATTTTTTCCGGTGAAAGCGTTATTGGACAAGTGTCACTTATAGTTGATTATTCATGTAGCTTCCGATTGCTGCTAGCTTCAAGCAACGTCTTAGTGAAGCACTTCCAATGTATGGAAGGTTAATGCTTAACTTGGAAAAGGAGCTTAGAGACGATTGCGATCTTGAGAGGGCTTGTCCAGCATGCAAATACAAGGTAAACTTTTGCACGATTAGTGTTAGCATATAATTACTTTCATATACTGAGCTGATGACCTGATATTTCTGCTAGTCCGGGTCCAAGATTGTTGCTGCAGATGGCAACATGCAACTACGCAGATTCAAAAAAGCACAGGATCCGAAAGACGTGGTATTTGCTGGCCAAGAAGAAGTAGATTGGTATTGGGTGAAAAATCGCCAAGTTGTCCCGTATGGTGGATCAGTAAGTCTAAACGATTTGAGCGATAAAAATTGCAATTGTATGCAGCTGAAATACTAAAAATTCATGTATTCAGGCAACTGATGGATGCAGTACTTGGCAAGCTCTTGAAAAGGGACGTGGCCGGATGGACCATCTTGATCAGAATGGTGCATTCGCATGCACTTGTGGTCACGGTCTTCCTTTGGCCATGATCGACATAACAACAGCCGGTGAACAGTGAGTATGATGATACGATGATGTCAAGATTATCGAAAGACTGATTCTCTTATCTATAAATCACTAGGTTCACCTATGTTCTCAGCTGTTTAAAAAAAGTATCTGAGATGCCATTGTATGGATCAGACATCCGCATCATGTACGATGTTGGCTGTAAAATTCGCAAGGCCCTGCAGGTGAGTTTTGTTGGACTCTTTTCATTAAGTTTAAACATCGATAAACTTGTGTATTGGTTAATTAGGAAACGGAATGCTTGGACAGTATAAAGGATGTACCTATTGCGGTCGGCATTTTCCATATCACTGGTCATTCGCCAGAATGCCAGATCCACTTTCATCCTCGCCTCAAAGAGGGGTGGGGAATACAGGATGGGGAGCATCTCGAGCGGCTTTGGTCCTTCCTCAACGGATTTGTGGCCATGACACGTAACATGTCGTCTCTCAACAGACGGCTTACTCTGACTATTGCTCTTGACTTCTTTACCGAGCAGCGAATAGACAACCTTGGTACCGAGTCTCTCATGATCATTTTTAAAAACTGCGTTGCTCTTTGCTAATAATGAACTTACTACTAGGTGTGAACCTCCGACGTAGGTTCGAACGCGCGGTGGAACTCAAAGCTGACGCTTTGGAAGCACTAAGGAACGCCGGTATTGAAGAGAATGATAACATTTCCATTGCCTTAATGGCAATGAAATGGCAGGACCATTTGGATGAGACGGTTCAGAGAGAAACAAGCAATACAGGACGAGGTGGAAGGTTTGGCGTCTCTAGCAGAGCCATAGAGAACTTGCGTCTTGCCATCGCCATTTACGATTTAATCGAACAGGCATTCAAACAACAGGGCAATGGTAATTAGCTATCAAGGATGTCTTAATGGGGTTAATGACTAATTTGCATTATGCCATTATTTTCTAGGTCACAATCGTACGCAAAACCTTGCAGCGCAAAGAAAAGCCGCTCGTAAGCAGGTTGATATCAAATTTGACCAGTATATCGAGAAATTAACAAGAGCTCCAATTTTTGGTAAGTTTATCAGAA